AGGATTTGAGATTTTGACTTAATCAGCAATATAAAAAAAGTGACCCTGACGACCCTTGTTCCCGACGAGAACGCTCAATACTTTAAAGCCTTTTGACGACCACGAATGCCATTAGATGGACAAGGACAGAAAAACCGACAAGGAAAGATTAAATTACACGTCTGGAGAAGCATCTGCGAACTGTCCTAATTCATTTGCAAAAAACACTATCAAGGAGGAGTAAGTGTGTTCAATGGCGTCATGATAAACCAACGTGGATAATTCAGCAAGTATTTGGGGGTTTAATTTCGATGCCATTTGAATTGCAAAGCTTATTTGACTTGGAAGATAACAAGGTTTTAAATTTACCGAACTTCTAATGTATTTGGACATTAATGTACATAGGACAAATCATAAAATTACATAAATTAACTCTATTTCTCCTATTGGCAGATGTGATTTGAATGTCAAGTTATGGCATAACCAAATTGACTAGGTTGTGAAGACTCGATATATGCAGAAATAGATCGAAGCGCAGAGGGACATTAAGAAACTGAAAGGAGTATGTAGTCTTATTGTAATACTAAATAACCCTTAGTTTATATCGAATGTACATGGCTCCTTTGAGTATGACCTTTTTTGTGGCACTACAAGTCTACAATCAGTAATAACCTTTCCTATTATCATTTTTAAATTTACGTAGTTGACTTCATAACAAAACCATCACAGTGACTTTTAAAAAGAATCCAAAAATAAAATTTGAAGCCGGAGAAATATTTTGACTGTGACCCGTACTGTTAGACAGAAAGTAGCCTCTAAAATTTGATTATCCAAATTCGTAAGACTACAATAAAAGTCCAGGGAATTTGGTTTAACACCGGCCGTTTTTCAGTTCCTAAATGCCTTTTCTTTAACTCTTAGCCTGAACCGTACGTCAAAAGACACAAGACAGGGACATGCTAGAAATCAATTTGATATAATTTCCGTGAGTTGAAGATGTGCAAGCTGATCTACTCAGACTGCGGTCAAGGATACTGTGCCCCGGTCATGTAGTTTCAACTAGATCCAACGATCGAGAGGTCCAATGATCTGCGTCCTACTCTGACGTCAGGCCATCACCTCAATAATTGTTTGGGGCGATCAAGTACTCAGGATATCGTAATTCCAAGGAGGTTGGCAATGCCTCTGCTTCAAAGGGCGTGCCATTTTCATACCAAATTGTTGGAACGCACGTACAACGGTACTTTAATGAGTGAAATAATAGGACAGTAGCCACCAGAATCATGACCAAGGATAAAAATGAAAATTCAATTAACGTAGCAGTTGGTCGAAAATGAGCCTCCAAAGGGTATATTTAATTAAACTATTGCCTCATATAATTATTGCTAGCAGGGCTATCGGTGCACACAAAGACGGAATGTTTCATCGTTGGAAACACAGTTTTAATAGGTAAATTTGAATATTAAACATTAATAAATTTAAATTCTTTCCCGCGCTCCGTGCAAACGGGACTCTAAACTTAACTGGTAAAAAAGCCTAGAAGATTGAAATATTTCCCTAATTTTTAAATAGTTTATTTAAGAAACTACTGTCATATTATTTATACAAAAATGCTTTTATGGGGCGGGTGAGAATTTATTGTGGCAAAAAATAAATACAAATAATTGAAACTGATTTTTCTTCATACACAAGATTGGAACATCTTACATCCCTCCTTCAAACATGCAACTGTTGTAGAAATGCTCTCTATGACTGATTTCATCTTGTCAACTGAACTACTTAGATGTAACTGGAAAATCCAGGATGTCGTTGTTTCATATTGAGAATAATATTGAAGCTGAGCACTTTCACGTCAAGCGTAATAACTATCAAAGGGAGTCAGGGCTTCAGACTTTGGTGGCTTCAGTAGAAGAGGATGCAAATGGAGTAGTCAGAAGTCCCAGGCTAACCTTGGTCTATCTGTTCTTTTAACAAACATTTTGAAAGAGCTTCATATAACACAGATGAAACAGTTATGAGTGCTATGGCGACGTGTCAAATCAAATTACATACTTGCCTTGATAGTAACAAATAATAGCAGTTTTACGTTTCATTAAATTACTTCTGCTCGACAATTTCTCATACTGAACTGTATGGTGAATATCTGATTACTGATGCAAAATGATTATTCCTAACCCGTTCTATTTTCAGATTCTACTTTTAATCAATTTATTTTGATTCGAAAAAATGCCACTGCACCAGTGGAAAACTTCCAGTGTGCGTCATAAGTGGCCCTAATTTTTATGGCCGGTATGATAGGGGAGGCAAACATAACATGGAAGGAGCGCTACATTCTAGGAAAAGGACAAAGAATGAGGCAAGGCCGGGGTACATGGACACCAGCAAGCACGTACACGTGACACTTGCAAACAATTTGCAAGTGGTACAAAGGAAGTCGATTTCAGCTGTGTAAATGCAAGATCTGACCATCAAGCGAAGGATGCAACGCATGCGCACTTCTATAGCTCAGCTCGTATTAGCGGCTGCTGGATCTCTCCTTGGATAAAGACACATACGTCTTGTCACAGAATCACACCGGTGAAGTTACTCAAGCGATCTGGTTTCATCTTGTTGCAAACTCGTGTTAGGTACCACATTCTGTGATAATTTGGATTTGTATGTCACCATGGCGGAGTCTATTCTGGTTCTGCGTGTCATCAAGACCATTGTTGGCCTTCTGGGCATTTTTGGTAACGCTTTGGTGTGTTTCGTTGTCTTTAAGACCAAAGCAATGCATACTACTACCAATGCATTTATTACAAACCAAGCCGTCATCGATTTTCTCGGTTCAGCCATGCTTCTCCTCGGTAGTAATACGCCCATCCCGGTTCCTTTACCCACTGGGCTATCAGGAGATCTCCTGTGCCGGCTGTGGATCTCCGATTTCTTCCTCTGGGCATTTTTGACCGTCTCCACCATCAACCTGGTGTTCCTGACATTCGAGAGGTACTTTGCCATCGTATTCCCTTTTAGATACCCGACCCTGTATTCTCGAAATCGTGTCGTGGTAATGATGACAGTCACTTGGTGTCTCGGGTTCGGTAGCAGCTGTTATAATGTTTTCTTCTACGCTAACACCGACGGTGTTTGCATGTCGCTTAACATTCCTGGCGCCCAGGCTGTAGGCGTTATGATATTTCTGCTGCAGTACCTTATCCCCGTGGTAGCTATATTGCTTGCCTACGTTCACATCACCGTGGTTCTGAAGCGAGGAGCAGACCGTGTCGGCCCACAGCCCACTGGACAATCGGGTGTAGAGGCGGCGGGTGCATCCCTGTTGCGAGCCCGACGAAACACCTTCAAGACACTGCTCATTGTATTCATCACTTACGTCTTCTGCTGGACTCTCAACTCAATTATATTCTTCATGTTCAACTTTGGCTATCCGCTGGACTTCAACGGGGCGTTGTACATCGTCTCAGTTGCCTTGGTAGCGATCAACTCCTGTGCCAACCCAATCATTTACGCGGTCAAGTACCGACAGTTTAGACAGGGACTGAAGAAGATCTTCTGGCGAAAAGAAACTAACGTGCAAAACAGCGACGCTACCAGACCAGTGACAATTACATAAAAATTATCAATCCAAAAGAGATGACTTCATATACCAAAACTAAGTAATACCCTGTTGTTAACGCTTTTTGATGCATTTTGGAAATGAATTGTGATGCTGTTTGGAAGTTTGGTAAAATTTGGTATGTATTAAATAGAGATGTGTAGCTTTCTGGAGAATACTTTTCCTTATTGTCTGCTGTGTATGGTTATCTGAAACATAAAACTGTACAGGAACGTGAAACAGAATTACAATTCCCTGTTGGATGTCACACGCCATTATTGGACCTGTAATGCTGGTTTTTATTCGCAACTGCTGCCTGCTATCCAACCGGAGTGGGACCATGAGAGGGCGCATTTTTCCAAGCAACAGAGGCTTCCTTGGTGGGGACTGCACTTTGCTGATTTTACAAGCGACTACGAAATGCACGCGTCAACAAAACGAACACTCCCCACAATATGGTTTCTTTTCAACCGATGGAGGGGTACTTCTGCTCAAGGCAGATAATGTTGGACGTAATTCCCCCCTTGAAGAAGCACACGACACTCAGATGTTAAAGTAACCCCGCAGTATTGTTGTTGGCAATCGCTACTGTAGATTTTTTCCTATAAGTTTTCACAGTACACTACTGGCAGCACGAGCGCCAGTAGTATACTGTTCATGATTTACAGTAATTATTTTCACGGTAAATCGCGCTCATTTACTGGACATGTAATTAATCGTAAAAACAACCGTAATTTATCTCAATCAATTACATGATGTAGACATTATGATTTGATGTAGACATTAGACACAGCAAGTTACCGTTTTCCGTGATTCATTTTAAGGGTTCATTGTATTTAAGTGTAAGTTCTCTTGATAAAGGATTCTCAAATTTACGTGAATTTTAACAGTTCAAGTATAATTAGTCACGTATAAGATACACATACCTCGTATTCAGTCGATTGAAAGTATGTACAAACACACGAGCTGTGTGGTTTCCCTCCCATTTGGAAACTGAGAGAGTAATATAAATTGCTTGGTTTTAAAATCTGGACACTATTCAACGAACGTAAGAAACTTGAAAAAAAGGAAGAATTTAAATAAAGTAATATTGTTTATTTGGAAAACTGCAAGATGGTTTCTGCGATGGAGATTAATGCAGTGGTTCCTGATCGTCTGGTTTGTTTTTGTCCTCAAGGGGAAACAAATCAATTACGGTTTGACTGTTTTGCCGCTGATGCGTTACAGTGGCAATCTCTTTTTACTTAGACCTCGTAGAAATCGTTTTCTGACAATATGTTTGTCTGTCCTTGTCTGGTATTCAACGTACAAGCATCCAATTAGGCAGGAGAACATTCCTGCTCTCCATGGTCTTCGGTAGCCACAGCCTGTGTGATTTCCAAGGCCGCGTGTCGTGTATTTTGCTGCTTCGGGCCTACCCAACACAATATAATGACCAAAATTATAAGTGGTTGATTCTTACCAAAATAACGAACATTAAGCTTCCCATGATGAGTGGCTACTTTGGGCGATTCCCAATAACAGTAAACACTACCAGAATGTGTCGTTGCAACGCGAAAGTCCTTCAATTTCGTTTAAAACAGAATCGATTTCAAAACTCTTTGTATTTAAACGAAGCAAGAACTGCAGGGTCTCTATTTCCTCCTTCGCGTACGCTTTTTCTTTGCAGTGCCTTGTGAGAGCTGGATCCAAATGCCAACGACGCGGAGAATGTGAAGGACACTTCACGCTGTTACACATTGATCCCGAAGATCAAATTAAGGAAGAGGGGGGAAATAATTCAACCTGAGTGGACGAATAACTTTTTGTAATACTTCAAGTGAGACGGGAAGCTTTTAAGGATTGTATCGTGAGTTTGGCTGTAAAATACTGTCCTTTCAACGCGCACATTGTAACAGAACTTTGAACTGTGTGACATACTCCCCTCGTTGTCGTCAAAACTAGGGAGAAATAAGATGCTCGACCAATTCTCAGCAGAGATGGTAATGCAGGGCTCACGTACTTTCAGATAAAACAAATTAACCGCGAAAGGCTTGTGCAGGCATTCTACTTGGCATCTCATTGGATCATCCGAGAGAATCCGTTGATGATAGATAGAGATAGCTTATCGGCAGCGTGTGAATACGAGCCTTTTCAATACTATAAATTGAGTGTGCCTCTATTAAGTTCCTAGGGATACACACAAACATGAGTGGGTGTACAGGCGTGGCATACATAGTGTGGACCTCGGCACAAAAGAAGTCCACATAATGCAGGGTACGATCGCATTGTGTGGACTCGCACACGTCCACATAACGTTTAATTTTCCCCTCCCTGTAAAACAGTTTCAGAGGCATTTTGGGGTCAAGGTTAACCGTGGCAAAATGAAGAGGAACAGTCCAGGAAATCATCTTCAAAAATCAAGCTCGAAGGAGTTATCCTGGTTGGAGAAAAAGGAGCATTTTCCTCAAGTTAATATGTAAAACAGGTATGGGTGCGTTAACGGTCCTGCGTTTTTGTGTTCGTCACGTTTTTTTTGGGGGGGGGGCTGGGGGTGGGGTTGGGGTATCTATCCTCCAGCAAGTAAGTTTCCAAGGGAGACCTATCCTATGCACGCGCTGCCGATGTAGTCTTGTTTTATTCTATCACACTGGACCCCCGTGAGTGATGCATAGCACCATACGCACTTTGAGCGGTGCGCTCACACGATGGGTTCTTGGAACAGAGATACATACGGTGACATAAATTTATAGACCACTGTATGGTTTTGAAAATCACTTCATGAAATCCTAATCACTTTGAGAGCTCTCTGAAAACAGTAATAGAGAGCGTGTATTCGATTAAGATGGGAAGGGATTCGCCTCATCGCTCTGCGCCCAAACAAGGCGCAGGGTAAGGCTGATATGCTTTGCACTATGATGGGATATATTGTGCACGACCTGCGATCGCGAGATTATCACTTCTGTGAGCGAAGCGTTATTTAATTTGTTTGGTTCGCCAATGAAAATACTTTGGCACGGGCAAAGTGTCGGATATATGATAAAGACATGGCCTTAGCACAATCACAGTGTGATAATTTATCTTTTCTCTGAGTATCACAGATCACTTTCAAATGAATAATAATCTTGATCAATTGTTGATATACGAATAAAGTATAGTGAGAAGATTTTCAACAAAGAAGGAAAAAAATATCGAGTTGGTAACCGCCGCTTGTGTAATCGATGAGCGAGCTCCCGCGCGTGGCAGGAATTTACCAACAATGCTCTGTGCATCGTTAGCTGTAACCCCGTGTGACGTAAATCCTTCACTGAAATCTGTGCAAGGTCACAAGCCCTTCCCAGCACTCTGATTGGGGGCTGGGTGACGAGCGAGGGAGGGGATAAATTGACGCTTGATGCCTCTAAACGCGAGGTGGCGGCAAACACGCTTCATGTTAATGTTCCTTCCGACATGGCTTTCTTTAAGATATTCAGCACCCGCAGCGTTTGATCCCAGCCACTCAAGCATCATTCCTGTATTCATATGCAGTGGTGGCTGACGCTTTTGCCTTAGTCAAAGCGCCCTCTATTGACCACACTTTACAGCAGCAGCAAGAAAGATTGGTTATTTAGAGAAACATTAGGTTAAGGTACATGACATAGATGTGAGGGCAGGATATTTTTCTCCTAACCTCCCCCCAAAGAAACCAGGATTGTGCAATTTGTTGTGGAATTTTAAAATTCATTTTTGACGTATCTGTGAATCATTATAAATTCCTACCTGCTCGGTGTGGTAAATTGCGAATTGAACACATGTATGAAGAGACGAAACACTGTCAGATGACCTAATTAACCTCTCTGGAACGCTTTATAACAAATTCAGTGATACTAAGCGTGATACTAAGAAAATTATCTCCATTGCCATAAGCGAATCGGATGGATGGGATGGGGTGGAGTTACTTTGCCCTCTCAATGGTCGTTCTTCTTGCAGAAAGGCAAAATCTGACTTTTGGAGACGTTAAAACTTGTATGAAATTGCAGAATATAGGCCTGTAGTCAAAATAAATTCATGATGAAATCGTCTAATTCTTGACCCGCCCTTGATTCCCTCTAGACCTGTACCAGTGGTGCAACAAATTGGGTTTATGAATTGATGAGTTATGGTCTTAAGGTTTTACTGTAAGACGATAGATATCTGGTCATCTGGAATGTCGGAAGATGTAGAGTATTGTAACGAGAACCTATTATGGGCAAACGATTTTGTGTCATACCTGGCCCGCTGCCCCTGTTTATTCTCAATGCATTTCTTATTTCAAACTTGCCTTATCTTTGCTTTGCTCTGCAGAAGATTATTGCCATTTGCCTGCTAACTTTTAAAACTGGGGAAACGCGGTGGGAGAAGTCAATGTTTATGTACCTCATCTCAAATCTTGTATAATTATTGTAAAGTCTTACAGTTCACTTCAAGGAGAACATATCACAAGCATTATGAGAAAAATTAAGAGAAAACACAATTGAAAAACCAACTAAGAGAAACTGAATAAAGGTCAGATACCTTAGGTCATTGATTATTTGACCCAAAGAAGAATGACAAACATTGTGTGCATTCTCGTGCTTGCACTTCTAAAATTAGAAACTAACACATAATTACCAAGACTCATTTATTGTGTTAGTTTTGCACAGTATGTTAGAACAATAATAACAACGAGGGATTGAATGCAAGGTGACGATTCTTAGTAACTCGCAGTATAGAATTCAAATACCCAACATTATCAAATATTAAGTTCAACTTCTATAATCGCTTTACATTCAACTATCTCATGACTGAAGTGAGCTAACAATGGCCAATGAGTATCTTAATCATGGTGAAGTAACGTTTTCCAGGCATCACATTTTTTTTCTTGAAAAAATACGCATTTCCATTAGTCTTTCTCCAAAAACTTTCACTGAATATACCTAAATGACATAATGATATTGGGTTGAAAGCTGACTTTCGTTAGGAATTCACTTTTAAAACACTCCCTTCGTTTTCCACTGTCAATTTGGACGATATTCCAACGCTATCTACCGAAACCCTAATTGTAAATTGATAAATTGCCATTGTAACAAGATTTAAATTGCACGCGTGCAATATCATAGATGCATATCATATCATAGGTGCATATCATATCTCACTGAAGTCGCTCTTCAAAATGAGTTAAGTGGCAATTCGGTATACATGATATGGGTGACTAGTTTGAACTGAATAAAACACACACGTGCAATTTTGTACCATTTAATAAACATACCGTCATTAATTTAGAACGTGATAAACATCTTTACTGTGTTAATTTAACGGTGTGAATGTGGTCCTAGTCTTAGCTCAATTAATAATAAGCCCGAAGTGTTGAGGAGAAACTCTTCTGGAGTAATAGTGTTGACCAAACTTACACAATTTTACAAATACTGATCTCAAGTGTTGGTCGTTCTGCTATCATCCTCGCTGCCCACTGGAAGGCCCAAAAACTGGCGGAGTCCGCGGCGGAACTGTCGGTATTTTACCGCGTAAATGATCGGATTCGCGCAGGAATTTAGGGCTACCAAGGCAAGTGAGACAATGTACAACGCGCTTTTGAAGTCCAGCGGATAGCCAAAGTTGAACATGAAGAATATTATCGAATTGAGAGTCCAGCAGAAGACGTAAGTGATGAATACAATGAGCAGTGTCTTGAAGGTGTTTCGTCGGGCTCGCAATAGGGACGCATCTGCTGCTTCCACAGGAGGGTTGCCCATAGTGAGGGAACTAACTGGGGCTGGACCAACACGGGAGGCATTCTGCTTGAGTACCACGATGATATGAATATAAGCAGTCAGCATAGCACAGACTGGGATGAAGTACTGAAACAGAAATATCATGACTCCTAGTGCCTGAGAGCCCGGGACGCTTATAGGCTGACATTTGCCATCCACTACATCGTAGAAAGCGATATCATAGAAGCTACTGGCAGTGCCGATGATCCAAGCGCCGGCGATCAAAATTCGGACGGGGACCGTGCCGTAGATGGTGCCGTGCTTGAAGGGGAACACGATGGCCACGTACCTCTCGAACGTCAGAGAGACCAGGTTCAGTGTGGAGGCTGTGAAGAAGGACCAGAGGAAGAAGTCCGAGAGCCAAAGACGGCAGAGGAAGCCTCCAGCTAGGCTGTCCGAGAGAGGAGACGGCGTAGGGATGTTGCTGCTCAGCAGAAGAAATGTCGAGCCCAGGAAATCAATAGCTGCTTGGTTGAAGATGAAAGCATTGGTAGTTGTATGCATAAACTTGATCTTGTAAATTACCAAGCATACCAAACCATTGCCAAATATACCTAATAGCCCTACGATTGTCTTTATTACACGGAGTGATACGATTTGTTCAGCCATGGGGCTCCTTGGTGTGTAAGCTCGACTCTTTCCCCTCAAATGATAGCGCACTTATGGGCAAATTGAATCCTGCCAACCAATTTATACCTGTCAATCGAAAAGCCTGTCCAGGAGAGAGTGCAATGCCTCGACTGATTGGCTGGGGATTTTCCACTCGTTGAACCTTGTGAAGTCAGTGCTACATATACAAGGTGAATATACATGTACTGCTTCAAGATTTGATGTGTGCTCCTCACGGAATGCATGACGTAGTTTTGGGAAAAAAAAGCCCTATGAGGCGACAAATTCCGCAACAACGCAGTGACTGTGGTCCAACAACTTATCTCCAAATGTGATTCAAATTACAATGATTCAGCATCTTCAAAGGCCCTGAACCTTGCCTCAGTATAACATGTACAGCTCGGTATTTCGGAAAAATAACACCAATTAAAAAAAGCAAAGAGTTTAACTCTGAGTACCCGATTCGCATGGAATATCAAAACCAAGCGACAATATTTATGCCAACCTTGAACAAAAAACGGTGGATTTCTATCATAATCACTTTGGATGAGCATGAATGCATTTGGGAGATTTCCAGCGATTTAAGTACACACAAATAAAATGTACAATAATACTCAAATTTGATCGAAGCGAGTACGCGCAGAGATGCAATGGGTTTCTAATGGATTCTTCCCCTTTTACAGAATTTTAAAAATTCGAGATTTTGCAACGTGTTAAAGTTCGTTCTAATCGTGCTCTAAACGACAGGTGTTCATGGTAAACCGATTGATCCGCTGTTAATATTCGTGAGTCCTATCCATGAACCAGCCGAGCCTTCGTACATGCTAGCGATTAAAAGAAACATTTGGTAAAAGTACAATCACATGGCTATGGCATGATCGTGCAATGTGAATTACTTTGTCGAAGTCTTTACCTAGAGCAAATGATAAATAAATGATTGCACACACGAAGCAACGGCTGAGGTATATTTAATGTTACGCGTCTGGCGATTTGGAATGTAGCTTAAGTAGGAATCGGACACATGAGGAAATGACGTTTTATGCTTGATAACTTTGTCGTTATTCGACACTATGAGCTTTGATTTAGAATTTTGTGTTCCGTGTGTTGTGAAAAAACTGCAACTGGTTAATTTCTGACAATTGTGCAATTGAGAGAGCGCTCTCCTCTGTTAAGTAAAATAATGAAGAAAGCAACCACGGCTTCGATCAGAATCACCACAGCTCACAGTCACACGTCACATCAACAGACGCAAAACGCGTTGCGGGTTAGGAGCAGTCAACACATCGGCATACATTGAGTGCACGTGTCCAGTACACGTGGATGATTGGATCTGCGTTGTTCAAAATCAACTCTGTCCAATGAGTGGTCGATAAAATTACGTCATGCATTTTCCCATCCCAGCACACTGTAAGGACAGAGAGGACGAGCTAAGCCAATTACTATCCTTGTGCACCACGGTAAAAGCCACTGATATAGTCTCATACATCTGGGAAATTATTGCCTAGTTAACACACCTGTACCATGTATTAGAACCTTGAAAATGTCTTAAAATACCATCTCAGGAGAGAATTCTGTCGTGAAGATGTAAGTAACTTGAAAGTGGCTTCCCCTGAGAAGTTATTAAAGACGTGAACGCAAGGCTAGTCCAGTTGCCTGACACATGTTGAATTTGGACGTTTACGTCAGACTGTCTTCGTCTAGGGCGGGTGAAAGGAAACGGCCGTTTCCCAGGAAAAGTTGAAAGACCACTTCTTAATATAATATTACATTTGGCAAACCAAACCAAACTGAACCAAACCAAAACAAAACAAAGCAAAAATCAGTATGGCATGATTGGAAAGGAATTGATAAAGGGCGAAATAGCTTTGCCTCTTGTTTCATCTTGCAACTCGCTTGTACCCACTGCTCTTAAACAGGATGCTGGTAAGGCCTCATTTATTGTTAACGATTTAATGTCTTCCAAATCGCATTTCAGTCAAACTTTTGTGGGGGTCTGGAGATTTTTTCCGTTTATTTTGTAGAATTCATGAATAATACTGTGCAGACGGAGTGCACCTTTAAGATACCCGCTCGTTTGCCGTAGCCATGGTAAAAGACGGGGTGTACACTTAGCCTCTTTGGATCTTTTGGGCTATTATAATTTTTCAGCAAGTTTATCTCGGTATTGTTTGATGTAAACACAGGGTCTGACGTGTAGTCTTGGTGTCATGATGCGTGAACACATTTGTCACTGAGAGTTTTATTTTATGAAACTACGTAATACTATACACGTGGCTACATGGGTATAGAGTTGGGCACACGCACTCTCTCTCCTCGCTTTCTTGACACGACAGTTACTGTCAGTTTGTATTGGAATGTTTTCAAGGAATTCCACTTGTTTGCATGCTGTGGAGCCACCATTTTGCTGTCCGCATTTGAACACTTTTGGCTGGAGAGATTTTGATCATGTTTTGTGACTGCTGTATGGCTTGTCTTGGCGCACGCGCAGTGTTAACTTTCGGTACCTTGTTTGTATAAGGCACGTTATTGAATCATGTGGATTAGGTTGTACACAGTCCCGTGGAGGCTGGCTAGATCACTGTGAAGTGTTGGTGACGTAAAGATATAGCCTATCACACATACACATGTACTTGAGATCCATTGTGCAGGGACATTGAGATAAGTTTTGCTAGTAATTTATTTGTTATCGATAAAGGAATTTAACAAGAATTAAAATTTGGGAGTTACTCGGGGAGTAACATCAGGAATTTTACGACTGAAGGAATTTCACCACGACTTAATCAAAAGGTAATTAATGTGAAGCTGAAGCAATACATCTCTGGAGTTGACAAGCTAATAACCCAGGGGAAGCACCACTGCCTACTGTTTTTACGATGAGCTAGTTCGGTGTTTCTAAAAGTCCTCATTTTTAAGAACAAGCGAGCGCACGAGTCAGTTTATGGCTACGCTGATAGGACAGACTTTTACGCTCGCGTATAGCTGTTTCCGAATCCGGATCGTAAGTGTGACGTCACTTCGGTTTAAACCACGCCCACTGCACACAGAGTTGCATGAAACCATGGAACCGGTAGTTAACGCGCAACTTTGGTGTTTGTCCAATGGAAACCTGCTATCAATTATGTGGTAACCTTACATACCTAGTGTAGACTTGTGAACAAAAGATGTCCACACGATGCAGGAAAGGAAGACGCTCTGCGGACTTACACACGTTCTGAAAAAAAAGTTTAGAGGTATTTTGGGGTACGGGTCATCCGTCGTAAAAGAGGAACAGACAACGAAACCTTTTACAAAAATCCAGCAGAAAATCGTGTTCCCAGTTCAAGAAAAACCAGTATTCTCACTGAGTTTTCTTAACTCCACGAAAAGAAAGGAATGTTCACAGTAGGCATATAAGGTAACTGTGTATGCGGCCGCGTGTGTGACGAAGTCACTTGGCATGCGCTGCTGAAATATCGAACTTGCTCATCACATGAACCCATCTCAACACTCTGCCCTGAGCATCGCACTTGCTGCGTGCACCAAAACTTTGTCAGTGACGTTATGCAAGCAATACAAACAAAAACCCAAGCACCTTTGAATGAATCCGCCTCACCCTTGATCTTCATTTACAATTCTAACTTTGTTCAGCGAAGCGTGTACGGTGTACTACCGCAGAAAAAGAGTTGGCTTCAGTTTGTCCGCCGCCGTGCTTATCTTAGTCGCTCCCAGACGGCAGTGCAGAGTGTTCAGTTGCCAACGCCCAGGCACCAGGTAAGCGTTGTATTTAACATCGCAAGATACGAAACAGACCTTTGAGTACGCAACTTGAGTGGAACTTCTCGTGGGAATCAATTAACGGCACGGCAGATTGGCAATCGACCGACCTTAGCAATAGATATAGTTCACTGATTGCCATGAAAAATGACGTTTCAGTTCTGAAAAACGTCGCATTGTGTGTACAGTGACTAAACTACAGAAATATCACCAAGAAGAAACAGCTTAAAATATTGACAAGAAAACGTCACTAAAAGGGACGTCTGGGTTTACTAGTGAAGTCTTTGCTTGTCTGTATCGGCGTGTCTTTCTAAATACTGATACAACGAAACGGTGAATGTTTGGTACCAAAAAAAAAAGAAAAAATACAACCAGGTGGACAAATGTTCAATCACACAAACCTGAAACTGATTGCAGATCATTGTTGGCAGTGTAGGGGAGGGAAAACGTCCACAAATATAATTATTTAGTGGAGGCGACGGGTCATGCTGCCTCCATATTAGATTCTGCGGGTCTTAGACTTGTGCGTCTCAGAGATTATAGTCTATTTCCCAGGTGCGTGCCCCCCTGGATGAGAGCAATAACAGCAACACATTATAACAAAATATTAAAAAAATATTTCAATTACATGTATTATTATTGGTTGTGTGCTTCCCTGGTACCCCCAACCTTATTCGAGAGGTACCGCCGTCTTTGTGGATTATAATAACCCTAACCCCTATATGCTGTATATGTAAAAATCATATTGAAATCAGAGGATTGAGGACCGTCGGGGTTCAAGACTGATCCATGTAGACGCCATTACTTCGGTGGCACTACGCCCCGTCCACAGGTCCTGTATCTATACCAGTCACGGTCCCAGTGACATTAGGGTCAAGCGCATGATAAAATAAAAACCACCTGCTAGGGCTCCACATAAATTTTGTTGTGAACAATATCGGTAAGATTTCCATACGAGGGTTCATGAAGGTTATAGCACTGATACGTGATTCCAAACTTGAGTAGCAAAGACGGTGAAGGGACTGTTTTACAGTAAGCTCCGACATTGAACAGAAAGAATGAAGTTTATGAGCACAATGTTAGATTCAATCTAAATCAACTAACTGATTCTCTATGCAATTGGCACACCGAGAAATACTCCTGAAGAGCCGGACGTCAATTTATAACCAATCAAAAATATACATAATTACTTTTATTACAGTTTTCAAGACAGGCGGTGGAAAATGACGAATTCTAATTTCGTCGAGCAGCTACACAAACATAAATACAGAACCGATGATTTGATACCTTTATTGTCCATACGGAAATTTACCTTACATTGGATTTTAAACACAAAACATAACAACAATATTTCTCCATAATAAGATACTTCATATCAACCCTATCCACCAGAAATTCGCAAAAACATATTTTGAATTGCATGATTCAAAACTACTGGGTTTTACAAATAGAACAGCAATTAATTTTCACCTAAAAGTCACAACTGTACTGAATTAATTTACCCCCGTACGTCGAAAGACTATGCAGCAAGTGTTCATCTGGTAACTCTACTGTTGAAGGAATGAATTGAGTCCGGTACAAATGACAGTCTATAACGAGCTTTGTTGCTAAGGGGAACACACACGTGCAGTCCTGATTTGTTGATACTGTAATTATTAAATAAAGGATGAGATGGGTCTTGCGTAATACTGTTTACCTTGGACAGGGTTCTATCAATGTACAGACTTTCAAGGGTGGGTAATTCCAAGCCAATAATTTTTGAGCTGTTTTCCGAGGCCGATTTATTTTATCCCTGTTTTGCTTCAAATACAAATCAAATTAAATAGGAGTATAGACTAAATAAATGACTTTTCCATAAAACCAAAAGTGTGTTGTCCAAATGAAGTTTCTTCAGTTGTTGGAGAAACAACATGCGTTAATTTGCATGGTACTGCAACTGTGTAACTTAACTTGATTCACAACTCAGTTGTATACCATTTACTTCAAACCTGTTGGTCTTACAAAGAGCATTAACAAGAATATATCATCAAAATTTATTTAAAATGCCTGAAATATATCGCATTCATGAAAGACAAATGCAACTATTCCATATTTAACATTTAGTTTAGGGTTGCTTGTGAGGTCCTTTTTGGGTTTGAACAAATCACTGTATATGCAGCACCACAGGAGAGACCTTACAACACATATCCTTGGCCTTTTAGGATAATTGCAATGCTGAACCTTTTACAAAGCCCCATTGTTAGACTTTTGTAAAAGGCCTTGCTATGGTCCACTCTACTATTTGGGATGGAGCGTCTTTACAAAGCCTAAAAACTGCAGGCGCCATTTAACACAATTCCCTATACACAATAGAGCAAAGCTTTACTGCCGCGGCGTGAAATTCACGCATTCCCCTCAGAGCCTTGCTTTTTTTATTGATAATTGGTAACAAGCACAGGGCCTACTCTATTCAGAAACTTTGTCACGAAATAGTTGTCTTCAAATATTTTCTGGGTTGACTCTTTGTTGTGAGCTTTTGTAATGAAGGGTGCCACGGGTAGTTACTGAAGGGAGTCAGGTCATTCTAAATAAACTTCTTTTCCATCGGATAGGAAGGTTACCTTCCGACGTCAGAGTTACATATTGGATCGACAAGGTCGTTGCTCATTTCACAAGTAATTTGCGACTGAAAGATGTCAAAGTACCACGTGGCCAAGATCGGCCAGCATTTATGTAGAGGGCAAATGCTTGGTTTCACAGCAACCGTAGGCCTACGTCCGTCATAGGCTGCAAATTAGGCGGTGAGGCTAATTTTCATGTAAAACTTTTTCTTGTAAAAGTAGCTGAGGTTTCTTCATCAATGGCACGCTGATCCAGCAGTGAATGCTGCTTTGGCACTTTCCCCAAAAGTCAACGTTTTTGGTATTTCTAAAGCTTTAAATCCTCGCCCACTATCTTAACACATGTACTGTGCACGGCAGTCTTTGCATATACATGCAATAGCTTTTTAAGGTAACATAACAAAGGTCAGTGAGAACACCCTTCGGGTATAAACTTCGAAGCCGTTTTGACCTTTGTGTGATGAAACAATATGTAGATTTGTAAGTTGCACTGGCTGGTATAATACCACAATATACGCTGTGACAAATTCAAACAACTGCTGCAGAGTCAGGAGATGGATGGTGTCTGTACAACGACATTAAGGGCGGATCCAAAGTTTAATTGGGGACTCACATTTTTTGTCAAGGGGTGCGGAACAGTATGATATCGTAACCTAGATTTTGGGTTTTCTAATGCGCTTTTAGAAGGAAGTACAAAAGTCTAGCAAAATTGTTTCTCATTATTACAAAAAAAAAAGCTCCTGAGGAATGGCCCTATTCCCCCCTCAGATTTGCCTGATTGCGGCACTTTGTAGAAACACTTATATTCCAGTCGACAAATTGCCAACAAATTGAGATTGGCGGTACAGAAGTCAAATGACCCTAGTTTTAGAGAGGATAGCAAACAGATTACTTATGGGTGAAAAAACAGACATCTTTATCAAAAATGTCAGCTCTAAAGGATGGAGATATTAAGAAAGAATTTATCATTGAGATGAAAGAAGCGCACACAAACAGTTTTGGGCATTGTAAAGATTCACTGATTGTCTTAGCTGCTTATCATTATCACCAAGGAGATATACAAGGACGTTCTTAACTAAATAAAGAAAATACCACAAACCTATCACATTGAAGAATTAAAAGTATGCACGCAGCACATAGCTCTAAGCTCAGGTTTGAGTTCAGCAAGGAATACACAGTTTATGCAGTGTTTAAACTGAAGGTTGGGTTGTGAGACTAAAACAATGAATGGCAAACCTATGGTAGAATTAAGACGATACGTTCTGATTGTTAATTCGGTGACACAACAGGCCTAATATCCCACTCACGTTAATACGAGCGATTCACAATAGTGCGCCTCCAAGAGATCGCAAGGCGTTGAACAATTACAGTGCGCGAAATCTGTCGACCCTTTCCAAACGCGTATTTGGTTGACAGATTTCGCGCACTGTGATTGGTCAACGCGTTGCAAATCCTTGAAGGCGCACTATTGTAAAACGCCCGTATTATTGAAGTTTTAGCCACGGCCGTTTTCCAACTTCGTCTCCGTCTCAGGCTTCGTGCCCGAAACCAATCCCCGATTGTAGGCCTGAAGCGTTTAAATCAAATTGGATTACTGTAAGTTTTTGCTCTCTTGCATCTTATTTGATGTTTTGTGGCACTATTAGACTAATTAGTGCACTTACAGCTTCAAAGTCAGACAGTAAAAAACAGTTGAAGCCTGAAACAGAGCCGAAGCAGAGTATTGGTAAACGGCCCTGGCCTCAAAGAATTTAAATTTTAGGTATTACAGCAGTGCTTCACCATCAAAGACTGTAAATGCATGACAAGATTGCCAACAGGTTGAAATATGCCAACTGTACCTTCTGATGCAATTAGTATGAATTATGATCAGACTAACGCTTCTCCAGGAGTGTATCTATGGGTAGTAGAAACGCATAGCATTGTAGAGGAGTATAGGTTTCCTTTCAGGACACCTTTCCAAACAATATGACTCTTATCTTCATGTCATGGGTGAAAATCAGGGTGGTAACATCTACACAAACGGACGAATCCCCGTGTATAACTTTGACCCACGTTAGCCATGTGTTAGCATAGAAGTTATCACTGAATATTACGTCAACAAATTCTAATCATGAGACCATTTAGTAGAGGGAAGGACTTTGAGTGTTCTCTGTTCTTGTATTCAAGGTAAAACGCTGAGTGTAATGACCTAATTGACTTAAACTTTGTACCTTGGTGAAGCGACAACCATGCGGGTAGTTCTACGCACCCACACGCTTTGATGGAGGAACTGGTCACACTTTGTAAATATGTCGGTTTACATGGCAAAACCAAATCTCGGTGGCTTGCTAACTTGACAGGTGAGGTATTACTACGTAAACCTTGCCTGGATTGATTAATTATTTAAAAGGTTATGTGTTCAGGTACCGCAGTTACACTACCTGTCTACTTGTTTTTCACTGTGTTGGTTCAGGCTTTTGCATTGCGATGATCCATCGTGAAATCTCGTCTTCTCTTAGAGTCGATTTCAATCTTGTTTTAAACCCTGAGGCGACTGAAAATTAACGTATCATTCGAACTGAATGGAAGTGTGATCCCTCCAGAAAAAAGGCAAGGATGATTCTTTCGGAGACCCTGTGTCGATTTTATCTGAAGGCGATTTGCACAAGCTGTGGCCAAACGCTCCCTCTGACATTTTCACATCTAAGTTGACAATTATTATTTTATCCTCCGAATAGCTCTGGTATGGATGCTGTGTCCCACGAAAAATCACGGGAGAAAATTTAACTCTACTTTTTGGTGGGATTATGTTATTCTCCGCCTCACAGCATAACTTCCCAAAGATTTGTTACTACACTACCGGTCCGCCAGATTGTAGCTTAAGCATCCCGTTTTATTACTTTTCCTAGTAACAAATATTGTATTAGCTACGTGAAAAGATGATTTGTTATATGTGACTTCACTTTTCAAATGGGAAATTTAGTATAATTATATATTACAAACAATGATGAAAATATTTTCTTTGAAATATTGTTAATCTTCATGTCAAATAATTAACGTGACTGCTATCGTATATTTATTTATCAGAAGCATCGAGAAAGGAAAATGGTTATTCTGACTCTTGGAAGAATTCAAGCAACCTTTGCAGTAGTCCTGTATTTAGTTTTGTTACAGACTCTGCCAATAACAGGTAAGGAAAAATGTTGAAAAATGTAAACAAAATTAGCAAGTGAGTCCAGACGTCCGGTTGAGCAGAGTTTTCTGTTGTGCATTACAGATATCAATTACAGATGACTCAGTCAAGTCAGAAGTAAGATTTGTTTCATTACACAGGATTTAAGTAACCCATGTTTGAATTTTGAGAGTTGGTACTGACAAGATTTTATACAACAAATGAAATTGCATTGCCTAATGAGAATACTTAGGATTACTTCCTGACAGTTTTTAAGTACTGCGCCTGTGCATTCTTATCCTGTGAACTGTTCATATAGCACTGAGCGAGGAAGATTCGAACCACGATTGCTTGCGAAGCTGCTCATGGCCCCCAAAGCCCCGTATCTGTCGCTACGAATTCACCGTGGAGTGGTCATTCAGCATGTCGAAAGCTTGCTACAATTGCCCCTTCAACATGAGTGACTGTCATCGTCCGCATTGCTTTACACTCGATGGCGTACCACGGGCGGTGGCAGTCGTCAATAGGCAGTTTCCCGGACCACACGTTCAGGTTTGTTGCCGATAAGGAAGGCTTTGTATTCTGTTTACGCCCTTGAAAGCTGTGTCATTGGACACTGTGCCCCCTTTATGAACTGTTTAGCTTAGCTGCTCATAAGAATATGGAAAGGTCGAATTGTTCCGCTGCGAAAGTCCTTGACCCAGGAAAGAACCCATAACAAGTGGATGATTAAAAAGAACAGGAGTCTGGGAGATTCGAAACACGGTTGAGGTCATTCCTACAATTAATGAAAGAATAACGGCATGCTCTTCGAGAATTCGTTCATGTGAAAACGGGATTTCAACAGAATACAGGTATGAGTGATAAATCGGTGTATATGTTTCTAGAACCTCCACCTTGAAACAATAATCTTTCCATCATGATTCAAATCCCGCCGGTTAATAAGAATGAAAGCAATATACATGTCATTACCTCTGACGAAGTGATATTAAGTAAGACATGCGTTTTCAGTGCATGTCAATGAAATAAGGCTAAGCCTTTTTATGTTACTACAGAAGGTTATAATTTATTTTATATTTTTGTCTCATTTGAAACAGGTCTGTGAGCACGACATCGTTTTTGTGAAGGTCAACAACCTGTTAATTAACTCTGAGGGTGTTACTATCCACTGGCATGGGCTTCATCAACGAGGGACGCCGTACATGGATGGGACATCCTCCGTAACCCAATGCTCCATTCCTGCTGGCTCAAGCTTTACTTATGAGTTCACAGCTGACACGCCAGGGACCCATTGGTGGCACTCACATTCGGGCCTGCAGAGGTCTGATGGCATTTTCGGGCCGTTCATCGTGAAACAATCCGCTCCGGATGACCCTCACAGCGGCTTGTACGACTACGACTTTCCCGACCACGTGGTCTTTGTCCACGACTGGATCAGTGACTTAGCTGTGAATCGCTACACAGGCCATCACCTCAGCACTTCATCAGGTTTCCCTGATTCAGTTTTAATCAACGGTAGGGGGCAGAAGATGGAGTTCTTCGACCAAAACACCAATCAGACCATAAAGACGCCAAGGGAAACATTCCATGTGCAGCAAGGCAAGCGATATCGCTTTCGTACAATCAGCAACGCCATCTTGGATTGTGCCATCGAGGTATCAGTAGACAATCATAACCTGACGGTTATCACAAGCGATGGGTTTCCCTTCGAACCGGTCGAAGTGTCCCGTTTTGTCCTGTACGGAGGAGAACGGTTTGACTTTATACTCGACGCCAACCAACCCGTTGGCAAGTACTGGATGCGAGTTCGAGCTGTGGGTTACTGTACAGGCGCCAACGTTCAAGCATTGGCCTCATTGATCTACGAAGGTGCTGATGATGAGCCAGTGACACCAGAGGATGATCCACCCATCCGCAAAGGGGTAATCCTGAACCCGGTCAACCAAGAACCCTCAGAAACAGTCATGAACGTCAATCAGCTTGTTGCACTAGGTAACACCAATGAGGAAGATCATTTATTTTCGATCAAAGAAAAGTTGACCACCATGCGTTCATAGCTTAACTTCATAATTTAAAACGGACCAGCGGCCGTTTTTTGATGTACTTCAATGAATGACCCACTCGAATTTCTTGAAGTCAACCCTATAGTGGAGTTTAGTGCTTATCAAGTCAAACGCTTGATCAGCAGAAAAGGAAAAGGCTCCCTGATTCCACACAAACTACCGTAAAGCAGATTAAAAATTCACATTTATCAAATACGTTTATAAAGTATTATTTGTCGATTTTGTCAAATTCAGAAAAGAAGGACGAAGCCCCACTGGAGAATGTGTACCGAACCGTTTACTTGGGCTTGGACTTTGAGGGCGTCAATAATCCTATCTACAACCACCCTGATTACTACCCATCCCACGCAGTCTCTCGGCGACACTGGACCTTTTCCTCGCAGATCAACCACGTGTCCTTCAAGCCGCCTGCCGTGCCTCCCCTGACCCAGCACAGTGACATCAATGAGTTTGAAATGTGTACTTTGGATAATACGATGGCCATGAGAGAACACTGCAAGGAGGAGTACTGCGAATGTACCCACGTTGTTGAAGTGGAACTAGGAAAGGTAATTGCATATACCGCAATAATGAAAGTAGGACTTCCTAATAGGAATCTGATAAAAAATCTAAACAAGTTTCTGTTGTGTACAATTCACTGTTGTGTTAAGTATTGTTTTACTAAGACCGCGTTGCCATGGTTGTAAGCGCCCAAAATCCTAACATTCCGATGTACCTGGTAGAACATAAACACATTGGTAGTATATGAAAGCAAAAAAAAAAAAAATACCGGAAATATCCTTTGGTGGCTGAGAATTTCTGGTAGCTTTGATTATATATGGTTTACTGTCACTGTACAGACGATTGAGCTGGTGCTTGTTGACGAAGGGAAACCATTTGAAGGTACACATCCAATGCATCTCCACGGCTACAGTTTCCAAGTGGTAGCTATGAAGAAGTTGGGAACTAAGACCACCGTGGAGGAAGTCATGGAACTTGATCAAGCCGGTAAGGACAGTCTCCAATAAACTACAGTTGTCCATTAGCTAGGAATCTGTACTTTAAATCTATAAAATAAGTACTCAAATGAAACAGACGAGAGTAATTTGTGACTTTTTTTACATGAACCCACTCAAGAAGTGCAGCTGTTTTTATGTTTTCTGGGGACTGCAAATTGACATTATTAACAAAATAGATTTTGGTAAATAAATATCATTTGATAATCCCAATAATCCTCTCCATAGTCTTGTAACTTGAGCAAGGTAAAAAACCCATCGACAATCTTGATGAGCAGGAATAAAACATGACCATTACGAATGAAACTTCATCACTCACTTTCCAGTTAAAGACCAACATGCTCGCACTTTAATTGTGTGTGTGTCAACGTCTTTTAGCAATATCTTCACTTACACTCAAATTACACATCTGGGTATTGAAATCTATTGAAACTGGTCGTGTTTTGTGGTGCTGAAAACAGGAGGAATCGTACGAAATTTCACCGAGGCGCCGCAGAAAGACACCGTAATTGTTCCAGATGGTGGTTTCACAGCCGTTCGCTTCGTAGCAGACAACCCCGGTTGGTGGTTGTTTCATTGCCACTTGGAGTTCCACAACACGGTAAGTTCATACCCATTGTTGGCTTACTCTCAATGGTGCAGCATGAGCCGACAAATAAAGTGCGTTGGATGACGCCAAAGCAACCACCATTCAATGTCAAAAATCTTGTCTAGAATTTGAGCTTTTCAAACGATGTCCTGTATCTCATTGGTGGCAAATAATGAGTACATGTTACGTTCGAATTGTTTGCATTTTATGTTAACACGACCACAATTTTTTACGTACACTCAGGCAGAAATAACAAGTGGATTCAACTCTCAACCACTCCTTGTAACAATAGTAATGACAAACGTTATTTATGGATCGTGCAGGTGCATCTTGTGAGGAAACAAAAGAAGTAAAAAAGGACTCCGGGCAAACGTTTACAAATAAATAATATTGTGGATGTAATCTGTCATGTTTGATGGCTAGGCAGCCCTTCAGGACTTCTCGAGTGCCACAAAATTCGATTGTCGGTTGTCAAGGGGGCTTACTAGTTGCTTCGAAACGCACAGTCAGATCTTGTCTGGAATACGTGGTGTGAGGTGGTTCACAAAGTCTATGGCAGAAGTTGGATATAGTGCTCGTGATACATCATAGGACGCTACATGTTTGCTAAAAATGCAAATCATGAAACATATATCATAATTATATTTGATAAAATGTTGAAGCATCGGCAGTTATTGGCCTTCGTGGGATATCTGTAGACAAGCTTCAACTCTGATAGGGTGTCGAAGCCCGTTGCTGCTGGACTTTCATCATTATAACATTCACAATATTTACTTTATGTTTGTATCTTGATTTTCATAGCATTAAATCTTAAATAGCAATAATTCAATTCAATACATGGGACAATCGATTAGTTTGAAGGATAAATAATGCATGTAATTCTAAAAACGTACGTCAATTCTCCATAACTAGTTTATTTATGTGAGTGTAATTATTATTGTCAATAAATATTTTATGTATTCGGTATAAAAACGTTTGACCGAGATAAAAAATAGATTGCACATTGAACTAAACAAAGATAATAACCAGAGGCATATTCGTGGAATGGAAAAAATTTGTCTGAAAACATGTGACCCGAAAACCTTCATGCCCAGTACCTCTTCTATTTCAAGTCATTGCTTTCAAATCAAGCATCAATGTTCATGCTTGTGTTTTAGCTTGTTGCTGCTCGATCGGATGAGTCTTTCTGAAAATTTCCATGAAAATTGACCTATAGCGTCTTCTGAAGTTATTTGTTTTGATCGATTTACGTTTGTTTTTGTTGGGTCAAATTAGAAATTAGTCGCCACTTTAACCATTCAGAGATCAACAAATACCTGGCTAAGTCTTGAAAGGCAACGATTTCGGAGGCAGGGTTGTTCTTCACTCGCATCATTAATCATTGCTAGTTCATACCTGTCCAAACCCGATAATTGTTTGGAATTGCACTGAAATGTCAAGTCGTCGGAAAGGGTTATCTGAGTTGATGACTTTGCACAAACCTTATTGGCGTATTGTTGCTATGTAGGTCAAATTAAAAGAGAGCTTTGATATCAAAGGGAAAATAAAACAAATGAATAATTAGAACTTTGAAGTAGGCCTGTGTCGTGCTAACAGAAGCATAGCACACAAGTCAACCCACTTCCAAAAAAATGCTCCTAGAAATCATTTGCATTATTAGTGGCTACTATGTAGACTGAACTGGGCTGAAATGACTGCCCATGACTACAGATAATCAATTATGTTGGTCGAATGTAACAGCACATGCCATAACTCATCAAGGTTTGCTGATTTCGCTGATTTCGCTGATTTGTCTTCCAGGTTACAGGATTGCTCAAAGGTTTCCCTTGTTACGTGATTTTTGTCCCAGTATGATATAACAACTAGGCTCCAGTAAAATCTGGATATTTCTTCCTTGGACCCTAAGCCTGGCGCTTGTCATCAGCCATTGTTCTTATAGAACTTAGTCAGGTGTATTACGGTCAGTGAACCAATTGTCCATATTTATAGTCCGAAATAGTGTTTAAAAGACACATCCGTCCGGCTTAATTCATATGACAATTTTGGAAAAAAACAAGGAAACGAACGGCTGACACTTTATATTTTGCTACAATCACACAGATCGGAATGGCTGTGATGATCCACGTCGGCAAAGATAAAGATCTTCCGCCAAAGCCTAGAGATTTCCCTCGCTGCGGTAACTGGTACCCACACGGCAGCGAGGAGCCAACTCCAACCCCGGAACCCTCTGGGGCCGTGCGTCGTTTCTCCCGCTCCATCATCGCTGCATTGCTGCTGTGTTTTGCATTCCTGTTCGTCAAAGTATTCTTTGTCTAAGAAGAAGTGGAAAAACGGTTGTACAACTTACCTATTCATGCGTGTTCCTTTATATCAAACATTCCTAGAGTTACCTTTCTAAAAGGGATTTTCACCGTGCCTGTTTAATTTGTGTTTAACACAAGAAAACGAGTCTGTGCCCGTTTGCTTTACTTTTAAAGCGTTAGTGTCCTCGCCCGTGAATCGCAATTTCTTCTCTATGAACACTGCATTGTCATATTTGTATCTGTACACACTTTACAACTTCAAATTTTCAAAGGTGCGTGTTTGGACAATTATTACAAAGGATATGTAACTGCATACTTACGATTTCGAATTTTTACACTGATTTTGTAAGGAATGATTATATTTATATGGTTCTTATAGTAAAAACAAAGATTTTTTACATTTAATTTACATCGAAAATAGAAGATGTTTGAATACGATTTTAACTGAAATTACCCAGAGGTATAACATGCTATTTTCTCCATGTACATAAGGTATGTATGTTAAGGTTCTTATTACACCGACTTGTGTTTAGGTCAAGAATAATTGTTGTGTTGCCCGTACATTCTAAAACAATCAGGGGACACGCAATTGTTGTACACTTATCCTCTGAGATGAAGTCAAGCAGTATGAAATATGGCCACTGGTTTTGAATACCTGTAAAGCAGTATTTATTTGTTTTCAACTTTGAGAAACACATGACAAAACCTGCACAGCAGCATTGTGATGTGACAAGTTTCAATCGTTACAACCTTTTCCTAATCAAAGCAAAACAACCTTATGGTGCTTTGTATGTTACAAGCTGGTTGGAAAACTTACCATTGGCAGAAAAACGCTTCAATACGCGATAAACAGTGAAACTTAGAGTTGTATACCGGTATGTTAGAAACCTTTTCAACGTTTGCATTGCTTTGTGGATTTGGATGATAAACAAGCAATGCATTTTATGTACAACCCTATGGGGGAAGTGAACCAGTCAGCAACCAATATACAGTTTTCTACTAAATATTTTTTTACGTATCCGATCATCAACTCACAGATGCATGCGATTATCAGATTACACATTTTCAAATAGGTTTTCAAACGTTTGTAAGAAAAAACCACCCATAATTGTCTTTTTTTTTATCGGCACCAGTCACTCTACAGGCTGAAAATGAACGTGTCTGGTCAATGAGGGGTTAATGAGCTACAAGTCGTCATTCTGATTGGACAATACTAGAACATTAATATTCACGGTCCATGACAAAAAGTGGTGTTGTTGGAAGGGATTCTCCGAATTTTCCTTCTCTGCCAACCTTTTAAACTTCTAAGTTTGTGAATATCTTCGTCCCAAATCAATAATGCAACACTGTGTCAGAAGGGGATGGTTTGAATTGGAGTAGGAAATAAAATGGAAACAGATTAACATTTGCAGGTACGCTTCTCCCATAGGGTTGTGCATAAAATGCATTGCATGTTTGTCATCCAAACTCATAATGCATTGCGAACGTCATAAGGTTTATTGGAAACGAAGTACAAACTTAGTGGATAAAACAGCAACAGCGGGTTTCAATTTCACCATTTTGAAACTGGCCACAATAAAATAGTGACCGGATATGCTAAGATTTTGGTGGGGCGGGTGAGGGCAGCACGATTTGGGCCTACTGAACATTTGTTGTAGAGTTATTATATAGTATTATATTGCACCATAGTATACAATTGGCCAGATAATGTTTTTTACTTGTATTTTAGGACTTTATTAAAAGTCACCTGGTTGTGCCTCTATAGATACCAACTGCTGGTTAATAACGTTTAAGTATAATCACTTTACTTTTGTTAAAATAGTGAAAATGAACGAACCTTAGTAAATTTATATGGTATTTCAGAAAAGCGCGACTCCAAGAGTTTACCAGGCTTAAACAATATTTTGGGGTAAACAGTGTGGAATTATCGGCGGAATATTTTCAAAAGTTTAAATTTGATTTGGCTTAAATTTGATACAAAATCCAAACTTTGACACAACCATGTTTTTTTTATCAAATGGGCCATTCCTTTTATGGGAACGAAAGCATGAGATCCTAACGGCTGTGTAGTTACATGTTTCTTTATGTCTCTCAACCTTTGGGACAATTTCTGACGTTAAATCACATATCAAAATCCTGCCCCATGGCAAACACTGGGTTCAGACGTAGAAGAACGCCACAGAGTGTACCAGAGATCTTGCTGAAATTGAAATCCCTGGTGAATAGCAACGACGTCGCTGTTAGGATTGAAGATTATTGCGGAAAAAGAAACTGAAAATGTTGTACTGGCGTACGCACGCCTCAGGTGTTCTTGACAACAAATAATCGAGAAATCGCAAGTTTCCTTGAAGTGTAATGAATTTTAACGATCTACAGACACCGCCTTCAAACATGCAATCTCAATAAGCTAACACTCTTCGAGAGAGCTACTGATCTGTCACTACTCGCAGGTCGGAATAGCAGAATTCTTGTCCAAATGAAAACATTCCTGACGCCCTTTATTAATGCCTTTCTCAAGCTTATTTTTGAACAGGTCATTGGTCGAATTGCTGCTTGGTTTCATCAGCTTCAGGCCATGTTATAAAAAAAGCTGGGTACGCTGACCCAAGTGAATTTCCTGAATTGATGTGAGCTTAAATATTCTAACGTAGTCAGGGGTTGCGGCGAGACATACAGATGTAAAACAGAGAGATGTTTGCCGGCTCAAATTGCATGAATCACTTTATAACACACACACACCCCACACACCCACACAATAACTATTACCACCCATACTTCTATTTTAAGGGCATCTTGACCACAGTTTGAATTAATTTTAAAAAATCACATATAGATCATATGAAAAGCTGCGACAAACGAATGCAAACTTCTTGGTAAATAATTATGAAAACTACAAAGGTGCGGCTAGGTGATTGTCTCAAAGTGTGGGGTAGCTTAAGGTTAAAGCACCATAACTCTACTCTAGGGGTTGAACTACGTTGTCTCATACTATAAATTACTTGGTCATTACATTGGGGCCTTTCCTTGCCACGCCCAGGCAAACCTTGAACAGCCCTCCCCAGAGATCCTATCCTTAGCACAGCAACCAGCTGCACATGGTTATTTTGAATGCCAAGAATACGGGTTTATATTGTTATTTATTCACTCCTTGACTTGTAACGATACTCGAACTTTGACGCTTGAATTTACATTTTTATTGGTAACTTTTTCACCATTTTATTTCAGATCACCTAATTTCAGGAATTACCTGAGATACATAAACTCCGAGGAGCATTACAATTAAACCTAATTGTGCGATATTTTTTTCACAGCGATATCTCTTAATTCCTTGCCCTGTGAATTGGCCTTTCTAAAGCCTTCATCACATAAACCAGTCTACTCTGAGTATAGCACCATGCAATTGACAACCACTGACATTAACGGGGTACCAACGTGATTAAGGTGTGGCTGTAGTTTCTAGCGTGCGAAGATCCGGTGGGTACCAGTCGCCACCACATCTCGGTAAATTGCTTGGTAATCGAGGCAGGTTGTCTTCCGATCCAACGCGAATCACCATGGACATACCGGCCTGCAAAGTAAACCAACTTTTGAGAATTCTGCCCTCTAAATATGCACCCATACTTCACACTTAGAATTTGATTAATTTTTAATGAGAGTTACACTTGTTCAGTTGGGAGGCATTCGAATATTTAGAGTGCAGAATCAAGCAACTGTCTATTGTGGATGGTGATGCAATTGGGGGCCAGTACTCACCGACAGGTGGACTTCAGTGTGGCAATGAAATAGCCACCAACCAGGGTTATCTGCAAGGAATCGGATTATGACGTAGCCTCCGTCCGGTACAGATATGGTGTCCTTGAGGGGAGCCTTTAGAATCCGCCGAGTAATCTGACCTGAAAAAGACAAATACCAGATATTTTATCAATAACAACTTGGCTCTTTTTATCACAAATTAAATTCAATTGAAAGCTCGAATTAAGGTATCAGAGAGTATCGCTGGTTACCACTTAGCGGAGTTGTAGCACACAGCAAGAGAGTATGCCATATACATTTGTCCAAATTACATGGGTGTGGCCGGGAACAGTACACGTCTGTACACAGGAGCCACCGGCCAATGGACTTTGCCATTTAATAATCTTTAACATATATATATATCTCATTCAAGAAATGGTCTGTTACTGCCACTTTTCGGCCAAGTGCCTCACTCCGAGGCTCCTGTGGTCATATTTGGGCATTGGAATACCTGCTTCATCAAGACGCATGACTTCTTCAACTGATGTCACATTTGCAACCTTGTCTGCTGCTAGAACTTGAAATCGGTTGCCATGGAGATGCATCGGATGAGCGTTGAAGTTGCGCTGTGCCTCATTGACAATCACCAACTCTACCACCTTAAAAAGTGACATCAAATTTCAAACAAACGAGACATCACAAAAGAAACCCGAAAATAAATTCCGATAGATTTTTCGTAACCAAAAGACTTAACCTTTTAACAATTTTTGTCACTAAGTGACAGCAGTTTTAAACAATTGTAAAAGACTAGATAGAAAAATTATTTAGCAATACCTGACCAAGTTCAACTTCAAGTACATGCGTGCATTCGCAGTATTCGTTCTTACAGCGCTGTATTTTACTGGCCTCCTTCTCAAACCGGCAGATTTCTGTTCTTGGTATCTCGCGAGATTGTGTAAGAAGTGGCACCTTGGGTGGCCTGAAGGAAACGTGATTGATCTGTGCTGAGAATAAGCCCGTGGTGGTTGGTCTGTCACCGTTATCTTGTAGAGCCAAGGAGTGCCTCGGATGGGTGTAATAATTGGTGTTGACTAAAGGCATATCGATACCCACATAATGAACGATATCAGGATCACGTGATATCTCGATGCCTGCATTATTTCAGAATGTAAAAGTGAAACAAATTTCAAAAAGGCGAATACTGACAGTCACTGTGATGGACAATATTGAAAAGAGAAATCTGACCAAAATGCTACCACGGTGAAAAATCGTCAAAATCATTCGGTTTGCTCGGTAAAACGTTGCAAAGAACTGATGAATCAGTACTGGAAGACTATTTTTAATAGATGTATCAAGAAAGAAATACTTTAATAATGGTAAATTGTTGACCAGGACTCACAAAAAGCTAATGGTTGAACTTACGGGTTGCATTGAGTTCGTTGGCATTCAGGACAGATGTGTATTTTTGATTCTCCTCCGCTTTGATGTTGTAAGGATTAAGAAGAGTACCAAAAGAATCCAGTTGTTTTTCATCTGGAGGATCGGGGTAATATGAAGCACCTTCATACACCACGAGGGCTAATTCGTGCATGCCCATGCATGCATCACGACCTTTAACCCTCATCCAGTATTTCCCAATGCGTGCCCTAGCCTCCAAGACAAAATCATATCTCTCCCCGCTCGATATTCCAAAGGCACCGACCCGAATGGGCTGCACTGGCGAACCATCTGTACCGATGATTGTGAGATTATGCCCGTCAACGGATACTTCGAACGCGCACGCCATTGCACTATTTCCGATGGTGCGGAACCGGTACCTCTCTCCCTTCTTAACGTGGAAAGCATGCCTTGGAATATTCATTCTTTTCGGAGTTCTACAGAGAAAATCTCTGTATCTCCCCCTTCCATTGATGAGAATGGAGTCCGGTGACTTTGCCATGTCGTGAAAAGCTATCCTTGCGTATCTATCGATGTATAGTTGGTTGATCCAATCTTGTACGATGATGACATGTTCCGACAGGTCATGATCGTACAAGTCGTCAAGCACATCGTCACGAGCACCAGTCCGAATGATCAACGTTCCCACAGCACCGTCCGGTCTTTGCAACCCATGTGAATGCCAGAAGTAGGTACCTGGCGTCAGTGCTTGGAATCGGTAGGTGAAGCTGGATCCGAATGGGATAGGACACTGGGTGATGAGCGGTGTTCCGTCCATGTGAGGTGTCCCACGCTGATGCAAACCATGCCAATGGATTGTCACGCCTTCACTGCCCACCAAGTTATTTTCAACTTTGACTTCAATGGTGTCCCATTCACAAACCTTAATGCATATAACAAAGAAAGTCTAATTATATTTAATAGCCTACGGGAGGATAACACTCAAACAAAGTGGCCAAACCATATGTTATGCTTCGAGTGTTAAAGCACGAGGTGGAGGGCTCTGTCAGCGTGTCGGCCATTGTTAAACTTAATTTGCATCACCAACTAAAGCTCGATGGAACGTTGCTCTCTAGGATAATTTAGTTAGAACGGCTTGGCTCTGTACAAGATCTATGAACTATTTTATTATGAAATTTCTTCACGAAGCTAACCAGCAGAAATTAAAGAGGTTGTGTCGTGCAGTCACACCGAAATTTTTCATGACAACTTTGAGCTTAAGTATCACTGAAGTTAGCATTGTGTATTCCCCACTTGAACATGCAATAATTTCTATAATATTTTACCTATTTGAAAAAAGTTTCTCAAGGTCCATTACCTCGATGCTGGGACCTGGAAACTGTCTGTTGACGACTGCGACAGTTCGTGGTACGCCGTTGACCGGTATGCAGTGTGGCCGGTTACAGTCTGTCTGGTTGGCTGGACAATCGTAGCAGGCAGTTGACATAGTGTGGTACCACTCAAGGGTGAACTCATAACGACAAGTCAAGGGTCTAGAGGGCCATTTACAAGGCCGAAAACATTTGTGTGGCTCTGAAGGGCGATTAGCTGACAGAAAAAAAGACAAGTTGAATGGTTGAAATTTGAAATAGCCATCAAGGGGACATCATAACGTAAAATGTACACACCGCAACTCCTCACTGAATTTCAGTTTAAAAAGACAAGTCAATACTTAAACACTACTTTAATTTGTCGTACTTCCTCTGACTGTTTAAAACGTTACCTTCACAGTCTGAAATGAACACAAACAATCAAACTCACCTGAATTAGGCTGTGTGTTCTGCAATAGAAGCAGAAGAATTGTGTGCACCGCAAATGATTTTAGTGTTGATATGCCTATCCAGTAAAACACATGTTGTAAGAAATTCGTAAAGGTGTTCATTCCTTGTCTGGGGCAATGTGCTTGTGTGGTGCCAATGCCGTGGATCATTCGGTGAAGAGGAAGTCATCGTTTGAACGTCTAACTCTAGACTGGGCTTAGAATAAACTAGCCATTGTTATTGATGACCCTCATTTTGTACTTTTACGGCTTATAAGCAAGGAACTCCATTATTGGCTTGAGTAGGATCAGGACGGACATTAAATAATGGGGGGGGGGATCACCAAGGCTGCCCGCATATATGCATGCTACCCGCATAGCCATTAAAGTGGATAAGTTACTTGATGTGGATGTCACGGAACGACAGCACACAAGAGGGTGATTATTAGCAGTAAAAAAGAATCTTTATCATCTTTCAGTTACTGAGGTAAACAGAGGAAATGACGCCAGCGGGGCGCTTTAATAAAAGCTCCCAATGGTAATGCAAGAACCCTGTATGACGTCGACTCCAATCTAAACATCAGCATTCAATGCAAAATGAATGCGTGATCATTTTTCATGAGAGGGTAGAGGAATCCCTCCATCCTCAAGGGACTCTCTGATCTTCAAGAAGAAATACAAACAAACAAACGATCCGCGAAAAAAAGGATAAATTTACACTACAGAGAAGTGAAGACTTACTAAATTTGAATGAAACCGCTTGATGATTTTAGGATGTGCGTCGTATTTATTAACAATGACACAATTAGCAGAACAAACATAGGTGGGTAGGCTTCGCACCAATGTCGCATTTTTCTTCACTTTTGCAGCAATGAAACTCCACTGCCTAAATATTAGAAATTAAATTAATGTCAGAGACTCCATTGCCTAAATACGTGTATTAGAATTTAAATTAATTTCAGGCTTATTTAAAGACCTCTCTGAGAACCAGATGGGTATTGCGAGAGAATTTTAATTGAAACGCGGCAATGGCCTTATTATCAGTTTTGGATCCAACTGTTTCATGTGTCTTTGGGATACCAGTCACCACCACATCGGGGTAGATCGCGAGGGATTGGCGGTAGATCGTTATCTGTACCAACGTGGATAACCATGGACATTCCCGCCTGAAAAACACCAAATTCAAGAAATGCAGGTAAGATTAAAATATTTCCTGATAAGAAAAAGTAAAAATGAAATCAGTGAAAGGAAACGCTATTTCGATTCTTATGATTTTTACATTTCGCCGATGCTTTTTTACGACATTTGTTTGATTACTCCCCTCTGAAACTCGCAAAATGCTTACATATGCTAAATTTCTTCATCACAGTGAGCTAAAAATTCGCAACTGGCAGATATGCAACAGAATTTCCTCAGCTGAACAGAATTTTGTTTCAAAATAGTATATCTGAGACAAAACCCTACCCACATTCCATAATTTATTAGTTTGAGTACTCACTGATAAATGCGGCTCCGAATGACAGTGAAACAGCCACCAGCCGGGGTTGTCTGCCACGAAGCGCACAACAACATAACCTCCGACCGGTACATTTACGGTGTCTTTGATTGGTGTATTCACGGTCCGGCGATGAATTTTCCCTAGTACGACACAAAATGTGCATTTTAGACAATTAGAAAATCATTCAGCTGATCATGACAAATGACCCTTCCGCTTGCTGTGGTCAGCAACTTAAGCAAAATAATTAAGGGTGTTGTGAAGTTACAGTTCCATGTTTGTAAACAAAAAAATGGTGTCTTCCAGAATACTGTTACTTAACAGTAACAACAGAGGAACGATTTCCAATCATGACGAGTTGTAGCCGTTATTCTTATAATAACGAATGTTTTACAATATAAATTATCTTCTTTCTGAAATATAACCAAATGAACTGTGAAGATTTAAAATCTGGCCAAGAATCATGATGGTTTCTGCTTTCGTATACAATTTTATCTGAAAAAATTCCACCAAATTTACCTGCTTTGTCCAGCTGAATGACCTTTTCGATGGTAGTCGAGTTGCCAAGTACATCAAATGCCAGGACGTGGTAGCTGTAGCCATGAAGGTGCATAGGGTGCGCCTGGGCGTAGGTTCTAGCATCGTCGACTAACACTAACTCTACCACCTGGAATGACAGAGAACTATGTAGATCAGAAGACAACAGGGACAAAAGCAACAGTGGCTCAGCCAGGATGCAGGCGATTTTAACGAAATCACCACTTTATTTTTGACTGGTTCGAATCTCATCTCGGGTTATCAATAGATGTTTAAATATTTGATTTAAAAATTACATCAAAGAAAATCTGTTTTCCATGACACAACGATTTATCTATTTAGGGGGATTTTATCACACAACATTTGGTTGCCTACAATGCTCCGATAATTACCTGTCCCATATTAATTTGTAAGGTGTGCGTGCATTCGCACTGCTGCTTCGTACAACGTTCCTGATGGGCCATAACACTTTCATAGTTGCAGAATTCGTGCTCCAGGATCTCGTGAGACTGTGTGAGAAGTGGTCTTGATGGGGGTCTGAACGTGATGTGGTTGAGTTGCGCATACAGCTGGCCGAAGATGGTCGGTTTGCTGTGCTCATTCACAGCAGAGGAATTGATCACCAACTTTTTGTTGAGAGCAATGTAGTAGACAACATCAGCCTCTGGGATTGTGTCTTTGCTGGAATCTTGCCCTAAAAGTGAACATTATAGACAGAGAAAATGTATGAATGCTGTCTTTGCTTACATTTCAAGTAAGAAAGTATCATTCCAGCAACTCCATTCAGGCCTTCTATTGGAGAACCAAATCAATGGTTCGACATCAATCAAAGATTGTTGTTCGAGTTGGTGTTACAAACTGGGAAATCTTATGAAGATATGTATCCCTTCTGTCTGAGTACATTTGTGCAGAGAATCGAGACAAGATAAGACAGGGTTTTATGTGACGAATTCAAAGGAAGGCTGATTAAATTGATGAATAATTCTAAAACTGAAACTGTTGGCAATGGTAAAGAAAACCTACCTGTGGCATTTAGTTGATTGATATTCAGAATGTTTGCAGTACCCTTCATGTTATACGGGTTTAAAAGTATTCCGGAGCGAGTGGAATAATCTGGTTCTTCCTCTGGATCGGGGTGGTCTTCGGCTCCCTCATACACCACCAGAGCTAACTCGTGCATGTCTTTACATGCATCCTGACCTGATAACCGCATCCAATACTTGCCAACATCAGCCTTGGCGTCAAGGACAAAATCGTACCTTTCCCCACTAGTTATGCCAAAGGCGCCCACTTCGAGCGGTTCAACAGGAGCACCATCGCTCGCGATGACGGTCATGTTGTGTCCATCAATGGACACCTCGAAGGCGCATGTCATGACAGTGTTACTGATGCCACGGAATCGGTATCTCTCGCCTTGCTTTACGTGAATAAGATGTCGGGGAGTATAGACGGTTTTGTTATAGTATGTGCCTTTGAACTTGAAATACCGCCCTCTGCCGTTGAACAGCAGAGAATCTGGTTCCTGTTGTATGTCGTGAAAGGCGAGCCTGGCGAATCTTTCCACGTATAGTTGGTTGACCCAATCTTGCATGATAATGACGTGTTCCGGCAGATCGTGGTCGTACAAACTACTGTGAATATCTCTTGGAGCTGCCTGTCGAATGACGAGTGAACCTACGATACCGTCTGCCCTAAGAATACTATGAGCATGCCAGAAGTAGGTACCAGGCATCAGTGCTTGGAATCGGTAGGTGAAGCTGGATCTGAATGAGATAGGACACTGGGTGATGAGCGGTGTACCGTCCATGTGAGGTGTCCCACGTTGATGCAAACCATGCCAATGGATTGTCACGCCTTCACTGCCCACCAAGTTGTTCTCGACTTTGACTTCAATGGTGTCCCATTCACAAACCTATTTTTTAAATGGCAGAGGAGCAAGAAGAAGAATGTGTGAAAAATTCTGTTTAATTATAAAATGGATTACTTGCATATCAATCCATTAAACATAAAATACGACTATTTCAGACAACTGCAGCTTAAAGTTTCTGCTCAAGCATTGAAATGGCCCCAATCACTTTTTAAATTCGTCAATGAAATCTAAATCCAAGTGAACTATCCAAACCAGACGCGTTTCCTAAAATATTTGCTCTTAAAGAAAATCCTAAATCATCCATAACGGACATTCACCTGTATGCTCGGTCCCGGAAACTGCCGATTAACAACAGATACAGCTCGCTTCTCCCCATTGATGGCTATGCAGTTTGGTCGATAACAATCAGAAACGTTGAAAGGGCAATCGAAGCACGCAGTGGAGATGGTGTGATACCACTCTAAAGTGAACTCATATCGACAGGTGCGCGGCCGAGGAGGCCACTCGCAGGTGCGTAGACACTCATGGGTTGACGCATTATCGTCAGCTGCGAATATGACGTGATGGAAGAAAGATGGAAGGAAAATGTCATAATATGACAACAAGGACTACACTTACACTGTTCTTGACTTTCACTGAAAGAACAGACAGCATCCTGGATTCCATAAATCTTAAATTATGGTTTATTTTGAATTGTCTGTTAAAGGTTGACAGACGAGCGAAACGCGATGAAAAGTGTGCAGCATTTTAATTTTCAATTTTGTGAAGACAACTATATCAAATCTCTTGCCAGGAACGTGTTAGGAAGTTTTATTGTTCCAGATTAAGATTATTTGAAAAAATGTCTGGTTGCAGATATGAATTATTGTCTTGAGAGAAAGTCTCGTCATTCATTTTGATAACGTTCCAATGATATTATGAGATAGTACCACAAAACCTATTTAAGATAAACCTTACGACTTCACTAAACTTCAATGGAATCATGGTAGCAACAGCCTTTTTTACCTGTGATAATTGGGACAGGACCCAAAAAGATGACTAAAGATGCGAATAACCCTCGAAAGGACGACGTCATCTTGTCTTCACAAAGGGTGACACCGCTTGGAAGACCTACCAAAGATTTTCGGAAAAATCCTTCAGTAAGAAGTAACACAAGGAATAAAGCTTCTTACGAAGTTTACATTCAATTTCCTCAAGAGGACAACGGTCAAAGAACATATCTACTTTGCTAGCAGCCAGAATGGTACTAAAATTTAAATTCATTGCCAACAGCGCTTACCTTTCCTTTGCTGTCTCTGCGTTGGACTTAAATCATGAACATTCCCCTTTTCAAATGAGAATGAATATTATACCTCCTCTATCATTGCTAAACGTGGTTTTATTTTGTAATCATAATAAAAAGTCTGCACCCTAAACTGTTCACCCCAGAATAATGTAACCGACAGTCACTTTAAAGGTTTGGATTTCACATGGATGCAACAATGACCACTGCGAGCAGGATGCACGATAATTGTATCAGATATCGTTAGGGGCAATAAATTTTAAGTGTTAAATGAAGTGAAAATTCTATAAGAAACGAAAGAATCATGCCGGAAGTGTCGATCTATTTGCTTTAATTAAGAGGTCATTAATTATACATTAAAGGATAAGCGCTCATCCTACCTGCATATATTTGTTACAAACCCGCATAAATACAAGGCGCCTCAGTGTGCCAACCACTAACATTATATTTTCAACTCCGTAAATGAGGGTGCTGGAAGTGTAAGAAGTGTTTTGTTAACTGGGCAGCAAAATAATGAGCCGAAACAAGTATGCCCCCTGAAGACGATAGAGCATCCACTCATCCACAAGTATTACTATCCTCAAGAAGTCAAAAACATTGCCCTGTGCTCTTGTACTCGTGTATCAGAGTGTTTTATGCCAAGCAGCAACTTTGAATCCAATTAACTTTACGCTTAGAGCCCGACATATCGACCTGGACGTTTTTCGAAAGAGATTATCATTCATTAATCAATTTGGGGAGTCAGGTCGACCTAGTGGAACTTTCCTCGCTTATATTTGATTTCTTCCGGTCGAGCATCTGGGCTGTATTGACAAGAAATTTTAAACCGTCTTACATGTTCGTCTTTGCTGTAATGAATACAGTCTTGAAATAATTCTAAAAATGGTGAGATGATATTTTGGAACATAATGTAAGTACGTAAGGCAGTAAGACTACAACGTTCGCTAAACCTCAAAGCTGGACACTGTAACACAAGATTTGTTTAGTGAATAATATGTCTTTAACCTGCTAATCATTTCATTGTTTCAAGGTTGACTAGACTATTTTAAATGCTGGTTGTATTTGCACAGATGGAAGGGGAGCGTCAGTAGTCGAAAAAGAGGAAGTGCTGTTGGCTAAAATAAAGAATGATGGGTGCGTACGGTTTCGGCTGAGTGATGAATAATTGTGGTTGGCCACATCCTGCTGGCATCAGAGTCACTAGTTGAAAACTGCAACGGGATTGTCATGACTAGCCCCCCCCACCGCAGCTTGTCATGGGGTTTCTGGACATCAGAGAGCAGTGACTGGCTGTTGCATAATCATTAGAGGACAACGGTGTAATGGGACAGGGGGCTTGTGCACCGGTTAGCCCCCCTCTCGAGCTTTTGCTTCTTGTGCAGGCCACCCACCGAAATTTGAGGAAAAACAAGGCTTTGGTTTATTTTCAACTTGAACTAAATCTGTCACGGGTACCTGCAGTGGGTGAGCCCTCTGTATCGGCCAGTGGACCATTGTATAGATACAGGTGAGAATTGAAGAGTATATTGAGCGTCATGAAATGAAGGAAAAAAGAGCTAACGAAGAGAGCTAAGACTAATACTGATGACAGTTTCCCGTAAGCACTGAAGGAAAACGGAATAGTAGGTGTGAGGATGGGAGATTTGAGGAATGACGATGCACAAGCCTAAGGTTTAAAAGAATGAAAGCTTTTGTACAATCAACGATGTCATTGACAAGTTTGAAATCAGACATTGGATGTTGGATGTTACTGAATGGAAGTAACACATACAGCGGGAAAGCCGCACCTTTCTGGGTTACTAGGCCACAAATTTGGCACTCCCTTGGCATGATTCTTTTCGAGTGTTGCCAAAAAGGAACACTGAATGTAATTCAATTTCAGGGTTTTACAGGATATAGGCTCGACCTTTCCACTAGAGAAGCCTTATAAAAACCTCAGCAATCACGCTTTTTGAAAAGTCTCCAAATTTACGAGGAAATATCCAGCACCTGGCTTCTTAGATTTTGGTGCGAACATTGGTAGTAAATCCTTGCGAAATGGTAGTTTTGATAAGAATCAGCTTCTTGGCTTTGCTTACTTCTGTCGCTGTTGTTTTACCAGAAGGTAGATATGACGTGGTAAGTCTTAACTTGGAACATTCCATTTTTCAGTAATTTTTTTAGGCTGAAGTTGTTCAATTTGCCACCAAAGTTTTACGCCAAATAGCTTTAAAACTCTGTTTGGTTTGTTTGCACAGGTTCTCCAAGGTTCAGATCCCACAATCACCCAAGTCAAAAGAAGTCTGGACAGTCATCACAATTACCGCGTGGAGAGACATGTTTCGCCGGGGAACGAGCCGAAACACACCTTGGACGAAACCAGGTCCATTTTAACCAGTGTTGTAACCAACCTACGTAAAACTCGTCTTAACCAGCATTCCCAGAAATCCCGGGAGGGGAGCCTTTGGCAGAAAGACTTATATAGGCACAGCCAAAGACAAAATGGACACCGTAATTCATGGTGGATTCGTTGGTGCTGCAAAATCTTCTGGAGTAAGAAGTACTGTGGGGAAGAGGAACCGAATATGACGACCGAGATGGTAACTCCTGTGGAAACCACAGCGATACCGGAAACAGTATCGATTATGTCAACAACAGCAGCTGAGCCAACAGAGGAGCCGACTACTCTAGGGGAATCACCTCCACCATCGACTACCCGAGTTGCAATGGCAACAGAATCGATTACAACATTGGCAATGACAACAGAAAATCGGATCACCGAGGCAGAGTTCACGGAAAAAGTAACATCGGTATCTCAACGGCAGACAAATACATTAGGAACACCACATATTACCACAACCGAAGAATCGAATACAGTGCCAAATTCTGAGACGACAGTGACGTCAACGATGACGTCAGAATCTTCAACTCAAAAAGTAACAGTCAGACCAACCATTGGTGACCCAATTATTAACTAACTATTTAGTGTGCATGTTACTATAAACTTTGTTTTCTATACAAGTAGTAGGAAGATAACCCAGATGCAAGAAACTGTTCTATTGCGTAGGCCTACAACACGTTTATTGTAAGTGGTTCATACATAAAAATAGATATTCCACTTTTCCGAAATTTCTTCACAGTGCTTAGTAATCAGTTGCTTAACTAACTCACATCTGTGACAAGTTTGTAAAACGATGAACACATTTGGAACCAAAATTAATATGGAGAAAAACAGCCATTACAAATTTAGAAGTGGACAATAAAAGTCAGAAGTTGTGACAATAAAATCCAAACACTTCAAGTCCCTCTCCCTTTGTCCCCCACAATTTTACTTTGGCATCAAGTTTCTGTTGTATAAAAGCTCGTTACTTGATCTCAGAGTATCCTTATGATCATGATGTAAAAACAGTCCTTTCTTGTTCTGTATGACTCAAAATAGGAAATCCTGAAAGCAGGATACGTGTTAACAATATAGATTCACACCACAAACGGATATCCTGAAAATAGGTACAGGCTAGACTATTTGGGTCATCCCTAGGTCATTGTTTCCAAAGTCCGAACGGCCGCGTCTTCACAGTAGTAGTTCACTAAAAAGGATGACAGTCAATAAATGATGATTCAGCGTGCAGCATTTTTAGTCGTTGCTTCACGGAACGAGGACTGCTGCCATATTTATTAATATTTTTCGAGGAACATGAGCTTAATGGGTAACACGCGTAAGGGAAAACCATACATTTGGTCAATTTCCTGTGTTTTATGCTCCAGGGATTTTGGCGTTTGGCTCCAGCTTAACTCCGAGAACCGAGCAGTCACGTTGCCAAAATGTTAAGCAGGTGTGTGTTTTACCCACATATAAACTGTGGTTTCAGTACGCTAGCTTCAGATGTAATGACAGTGGCTCAACTTGTCACTCTGGGAACTAAGGTTTTCACAAGGCACCTTAATGTCACAGTTGCATCTCATGTGAGAAGACACACAGATGTGATATGCTTCTTTGAACCCCTGCGTCGCCACAGGAAATGACTCTTAGACAAAGTGCGCCGACAGGGACGCTGTGAGTCGCTGGCCCAGATGCTCTCTGCCTTTAGCTGAACGAACACGCAGTTTAATATCGAGAAGAGCTGAAAATTCTTGGCTTTGGAGAATGGCTCGCTTTGGCCTTATTTTCATCATGTGTGCACTCACTTGCTTCGTTCCTTGCAAGCCTGGAGTTGTTTTAAGGAAAGAGTATGAGATCAGCCAGGTGAGATTATACTTTCCGTGTATTTGCTTCTCATAACTTTTGAAAATTAAGATTGGGCATCAGAGTCTTAGTATCCGATAAACTTAGAACAAAGACATTTCCATTTAAATCCTTCGTCAGTTTCAGTGGTGCAACATGTGTGTGTGTGGGGGGGGGGGTGAGGGGCCCTAACGGCACCTCAAGGCTCTTCTTCCCTTTTGCATCCTCAGAGAATATAAAGAAAACAAAAGGAGATTTGATTCAAAGTAAGACCAAAGTTGACGACCGATTTTGTTGAACTTGTGATGAGCAGATTGCTTTGGGCCACTTTCCAAATCAGAATGATACAAATGATTGATGAACTAAAATTAAGAAATATCGATTCCCCTTTATGACAATTTGGAATAAAAACGTGTTTCGGGTCAAATTATTTGAGATAAGCAACCTTAAAATTGAATTTAAACTCATTCTATTTGCTCGTCAAGATAAGTTTCTTGAGAAACCGAAACTTTTCTTATCCTATGCGGTGGTTGTTCAATTAAGTCCCTGTAAAGTTCGGTGCGTCAGTTTCCTGTAGATAATCACAGCGTTAGTCGATTTTCATTACTGGAGCTGTTTCAACCACAAGCTACACAGCTGGCTACAGAAGATCGAATCAATTTCTGCTTCTGAAAAAAGAATGCGAATAAAAACAGACTTCCAGAACTTGCCAATACAGTCACAATATAGTCACAAAATGCTAATTTTAATGTTCCTCGAATGATTAATATTCCTTTTGGGAAGGAAGCATGTTAATTTTAAAGTTGAGTGTATGATCACTATTCTTTAACAGGGTAAGGGCGATGGTGGTAAATCAAGTATTCAGGACATCCGTACAGGCGGCCATTTTTTGAGCATGATTTCCGAGCAGGCGCTTAAACTCGACCCGCCAAAAATTCAAACAAATTTCGGAGCATGGCTAAACACGGACAATGAGGGCCCACACAACCTTGAAGACTCAGGATACAGACTCGCCGAGCAGTACCGCGATAAACGAGCATCTTGGCCTTGGTGGAAAAACAGTAAAAAAAAGAAGGGCGCCAGCGGAGTCCGTAATAAATGGAGAAGTCAAAAGAGGGGGCGTCCTACGTCTCAAGTTGCAGAAGAAGATGATAATGACGACAGTGGGTGCTCAGATAGCAGTTCATCCGAAGAAGACGAATCAGAAATCAGAACACTGAAAAGAAATCCTAGACCCTGGACAAACAAGAGGCGTGGTTCTTGGGGACGGGGGCGGGGAGGAGGAAACTCATTCAACCGTGACGATGACGATGAAGAGAGACGAAGAAAACGAAGACCGTCAAAGCGTTGTAAGACCAGAAATGGAGGCAAGGGGCTGTCTACTGCATCGACAGAGACACAAACAACGGCAACTGTGACAGAGAGTACGACAACGATGACAGCCACGACGACTCAACCGTCAACAACGACTGCGGTCCTGGAAACCACGCAAGCTGTTGAAACAACGCAGATTCTCACGAGAAGTGCGTCTCAGTCACCAGCCCCAGATCCACTGACTGAGAAGCAGGAATCAACACTGGAGCCAACAACAGAGCAAGTGACGTCAACTACGGAAACACCGTCAACTACAATCGAAAGGACAACGACTTCTGTAGTGAAAACACTTGGGATTGATCCTGAGCCGAAATGATGATATTGAAAGGATAAAAGTCATTACTGAAACTGCAAGAGGGCGTCCTCCTGCGGCAGCCAGTGAACAAATATTTTCACTGCCGATCGCTAATAAATCCCAGGAAACCAATGGAGCAGGACGTTGAAGAAAGCATCGGAAAGCGTGGGAGACTTTTAACTTGTTTCTCAAATCTTGGAGGAGAGGGAGGGTGGGTTAAATATTTGATCAATTTTTGTTACCTGAATTTCTAAAAAATGTTGTACATTTCAAGATGATTAGGGTATTATATTCAGACTATTTTTTGTCTTATAGAGCAGTAAATAAATCGGTTGTTATAAATCATAAAAGTAAGAAGAAAAAGCCCATATTCAAGATGAAGTACTGAATTGTCAGCGAGGGAGGTTCAACTTTAAGTAAAAATCGGTTAATATTAATAAAATCAATGAGTATTATAGTTTATAAGTACATGTAATGGCTATAAATAGCGTCTTCAAGAGGTATTGAAATTTCAAGTATTCTTTGATAGTTGGCTTTGTGGAATGCTAGCTGAACCGAAATTAGGATTTAAGAAGTTAGAGGAAACCTTTTAAATTCAAACAATTAGATTCATTATTGCCTAAAAACATTAATGGAATGTTATTGGAGAGAACCTTAACCTTATTTCCTTACGGGCCGTTATTTTATTAAATTAGTTTATGGAGAAAGAGAAATCAAATGTTTGGAAAGGAAAAACGATGTTTTTGCTCCGTTTTATTCGGAGGCAATGCACTCTCACTTTTCCAATGCAGATGCAATGATTTTTGTCAGGGTAAAAATAAGGAATTACTGTATTTTCTCTTTTAACCTGACTTCCCTATCGATCCAAGACCTAGATACATGTATACCATTTGTTTATTTTTCCATCTTCTATTCACATCCCTTGATCCGGTTATTCAAATTCAAGACAGACATTTAAAACTATAAAGTCTGGAAACATTGTAAAATTCAACATTTTAATGCAAATTCAATCTAAACAAAATATTTCTGAGTAAATAAAGCCTCATGGTGATCCAAATCAAGGTGTTTTTTGCTTCACGCTGTTATTTACAGTGAACTTAAGTCATAGATCGATGCAAAGACTTATTTTGAAATCATAAGGGCGCCCTCTCGTGATTAAGACAGGGCGAATTTAGTTTTGACTTCCCTTGGTCAAAACCAACTGGATAGGATAAAATTACGGTAATTGTTAACGGATAATTATGTCAACTTTGGGAAATGTTTGGAAAAGGAATAAGTCGCCCCTTCAGCCCCCCCTTTCAGCCACCGTTTAGAGGGACGATATACTTTGACGAGCGTAAATCCCGGGGCGGGTGGGGGTATATTTCCCCCCACTTTTTGAGAGATGGGCTATTGGATCATCCCCCACTTTTTCGTGGTAAGCAAAAATTAAAGTTAATTTTGAAACTTTTTCAGACTTCCAACGACTAAAACGCATTTACTATCATTCCAAAAAAGGAGGACAATTTAAAAAGCCACAAATATGTTATTGTGAATATATTACAGGTAAACATTTATATCGTGAACATCGACCCCGTATTATGTCACCCCTCCGCTTTTCAAATGTTCATGCCACCCCCAAACCTTTCCCCATCTCCCATCCCCTCCTATTTCCAGCACAGATTAACGCCACGAACTTTTATCTTTTGGATCGACTACCTCGAGAATTTTAAAAAAAGGAAAATGAGGACTCCTGGGTCGACAAGACTAAAAGACGATGAGGAAGGTAGGGGCTGGTATTTTGTTCCACTGGGGGCGCTATTTATTACATGTTACATAGTCATTTATTTTTAAAAAAATTAACCTGTACGCGTATAAAACTATATTTCTGAAAGTTTTAGTAGTAAGTTGATGCAGAATCTACCATTATTAAAGAATATGGGGGTAGCTTTATGGCCTATCCACTGTCAAAAATATTCGTGAAAAGTAGCTCTATCCTTACGATCTCCCGCAGTCTCTGTTTAAGTGTTTAAAACTTGAGTGGTCCTTCCCTATAGTTCTATACTCCTCCTCCGTAATATGTCATCAAAGCCGTCATCACTTGAAGTAAGCAACAGGGAAAATCTGTTGAGAAGAGAAAACAATCACAGAAAAATCTTTCCACCGACAAACCATGACAATTACCTTAATTAATGACTACATATAAAAAAATGAACAGTTTATGTTCAAAAATACCTTAGCCGTCAGTAACATCAAGTCAACGAGAGGGGTCATCTTGCCATCCGTAGGCTTCCTTCCGTGCCTCCATTTCCTTACCTGTCTCTGACCTGTCATCCTCTTGAGTTGTTTCCTTCCTCCGTCGATCACCACGAGTGAAATCGAAGCTCTGCGCTCTGCATGTCTGGCTGTGTGGTTATATGAAACAAAATAAAGAATGTATTTTGGGATGGTAATTCAATTCTTTTCGTTAGTTTTAAGATTTTGTGCCATTTTCAATTCCAGTAGTGTTTGGTTGCATTACTGACAAAGACAAGACAGATTAGGGTAAAGAGACACTGTGCTTTTAAAACATACCTCATCAAGAAGAAATGGGTTGCCCAGCAAGCAGGTCATCTGTCACTGGTCGTTCCTCCTTCCTGCTTCCGGTTCCTGGTCCGTGATGCCCCCAGCGATTTGAGGTGATACTGCTGGTGGCTGAAAATGGACTGACAAAAAGGAATCTTCCTAGCGGAGCTAGGTTCGGTTAATGTGATTAATTGCAATGTGGTTTTGATCATTTCAACTCAACTTGCATTGAGGTGCCCAGGCGTGGAAATAATTTGTCTAAAATGTTCAGCTGACGTCTAGGTACGACATTCAGCCAACTCAATATGCAGTAAGCCTCTCAAGCAATTTTGCTTGCTCTATTGCAACTGATTACGTAGGCAACATACGTCCGTGTTGTCGAAAATCCAGTTGTTAAAAAATTTGATCAGTTCTATTGGTATAAAATTAAGCCTACTGGTCTATGGTTAAACCTACTGGTGAAGGCCTCCTGGTCAACGTTTAAGCCTACTCAACACTGGTCCAGGACTAGGCCTTTTACTACTAGGACTACTGATCTACGACTTGGCCTACTGCGTGGTATACAACAACAACAACTGGTCCACGATTAGACCTGCTGGTCTACAGTTAGGCCTTCTGGTCTCTAATTAGGCCCACTGGTTTATGAATAGGCCTACTGGTCTTCGATCAGGCCTAGTGGTGTACGATTAGGCCTAGTGGTCTACAATTAGGCCTAGTGGTCTTTAATTAGGCCTATTGGTCTACGATTAGGCCTAGTGGTCTACAATTAGGCCTGGTTGTCTAAAATTAGGCCTACAGTGGTTTACGATTAGGCATACTGGTGTACAATTATAGGCCTACAGCTGTTTACAATTAGGCCTATTTTTATGAATAGGCGCACTGGTTTACGAATAGGCATACTAGTCTACGATTGGAACTAATGGTCTACAATCAGGCCGACTGACATAAAAAGGTCCTAATGGTCTTAGGTCAGGCCCACTGGCGGTCAAGTTTCTCGCATAGATTACCTTGAACTATTTCAGATTTTTGAAAGTTCCTTAATTCCATAGCGTGATGGTCGGTCGAATTAAACCCTGAAAAATTCAGGAAATATATACTATCAAAAAAGAGGATCACTGACTGATGCTAATCTGATTTCACAGAAATGAGAATAGGTACGTAGGTCTCATATTAGTTGCTCAATTTTAGAGTGCTTCTGTCAACAGGTGTAAAAGCAACTGCTTTTAAAATGTTAAGTTTCTTCCTTACGGCCCCCTACCTAAAAGTGGATTTCTCCCGAATTAGCTGACGCTACGGGAGCATCGAAATTAGACTAGTTTGTCAATAGCAATGCTCGCGGCAACAAAAACAAAGTGTAGAAACTCTCTGACAATAGAAAATTACTTATTAGCCTGCAGGAACTTTGGTTATCGAACTTTTCATAAATATACAAGGGATGCACAAAATGGCTATATCAACTAGCGGCCACATTTTGAACTCAGTCATGGAATCAGTCAGAATCATTGAGCCATCCTTGGGAGTTACAGCTACCCTTTTATAGACAATATTCCTCTCTTTTGCTAATACAATCACAGTTTACATTATTTCTTTACAGATATTTTGGATGGAAAATTAGAAAGGATGATATCGCCCAAGCCATCTGTAGCCACTGGCTTTAAACATCTACATTCGCAGAGCTGGTACGCATCCTTTAGACATTTTGACATTGATTTTGTCCTTACGTCGTTTTTGAAAGAAAAAATGAATCAATAAGAACCATTTTGACACCTGTGAAAAACGTTAACATAAGCACCCATCAATTATGCCCCATCGGTTACTCAATAACGATAATACAACTTGAAATAAAACACCACACAAAAGCACAAAGCATATGTTTTGAAGGGTTGTCAATTTCATAGTTTGGGAACACGTAATAACATTTCTGTTACCACTGAGTTGATTTAATTTGTTTTATTAATCGACTTGTCGCTGCATCACATTTCGTAAGTATTTTTTTTTGTTATTTCGTTTATGATTCAAGATTGTTTTGCCTTGTCTTTGGATTAGCTTTCATCGGTTCATTACATGTACCGTGAAGACGTTTCCAAGTCGCAGCACCACTTCAGGTAAATTTTACACTTTCATAAAGAACTTATTTTCTCATTCGCAGAAAAACCGTCTCGATTCCACATTGAGGGCGCCCTGGCACTATTAAAGGGTTTGACCTTTTTTGTAACCGTTAACCTCAGGCTGACAGAAAGTAAGAAAACTTCCAGGTGCAGTCTTAAAAATTGCGTTGCCCAAATGGCCCAGAGTATTTCAACACATCTTCAATCTTAAGTCTGCATCATTACAAAGGCACATTGCAAACAGTAATTCGGATCTAATAAAATAGTTGTTTACATCGAGTGACATCGAGACCTTTTAAAAACTTTGTTCTCTTTCTTTCCTGATGTTCATTTTTCCACAGGGCTGCATGACACTCATTCGAATACTTCTTACAACCTGAAATAAGTGCTGTCAATGGTCAAGTTTCAACACTCTCCCAACGACTGTACATCTGAGCACTGGGATTCCATTCCCATCTTTTATACTCTTTTAGCGGGAGAGATCAGGGGAACGAGGACGATATTGAGAGGTACGAAAGATTTTCACCCGGATAAACACCCAAAAAAGAGCTTACATGTTCTAAAACGGGGCCATCAATTCATTGGACACCCGTCGAGCATTTGTCGTTGTAAGTGACACAACATACTACACATTATTATGTGTACAGTTATTACATTCTTTATTTTATATGAACACACAAGCAACGGGATTTTCATTCCGGTCCCATCTGTTGCTTCACAAAATCATTGCTTCCCGTAAAAAGAAATAACTAAGAGGAGGGCTCCTTGGAAAGTTGTTCCAATTGTATTTTATGTTTAATCTACTATTTCGAATATTTTACTTCAAATTCATCGCCACACAAAGACAGCGGCCTCGTCAAATTTTTCGTTTACGAAGGCTCTCGTCTTGCCGTTCTTAAGTTATACATCTGTAAATTCTAGAAGTGTGTAATCTGGAGACGCTTAAGGCATCGCCTGTCAATAACTTCAAGATGAATGACACCTTCATTTTGTTGATCAACCAACTGAATCGAACAAATGCGCTGAAAATGCCTTCATTAATTGTGCGCTTGAGGGGAGGGATCTCTCGAAGTTGTCATATTACACGCCATGGGTAATGTACCTTTGCCAAAGAAATGATGCCCCACAGTCGTCTTGTTCTTATCTTACTGTAGTCGTTAAGTATAACTATTCCTTACATCTGTTGTTGTCAATGTGCAAATGATTATTAGCATAATTAAATTAATAAGTAACTGAGTAGCTGTCTGCTCTTCTTTGCTTGAGAGTATGGACTTCTTTGAAGAGGTTCTTTCGAAGAGACATGAAGATAACGCACAAGGCACTGCTGTTAACTTCTCCGATCTAAAAAAGGTTCTTTAAACATCCATTGTGCACTTTTGCAACTGTTTCTCAGTTTAAAATCCAACGTAGCTTCAAGCTTACTTCTTTTTTGCTTGGTTCTCAAGGTGACTCATTCCTCAAATTGAACAGGAACCAAAGTAGTTGTGCCAATATGCATTGAGAAGCTAACAACAAAATTTAAACGAATTTCATGCTAGCTTTACACTGGAAACTCGCCTCGGTCCCATCAAGGGTGTATCTATGTCGACTGTTATTACTGGGCGATCACTTTGGCCTTTAATGGGCACTATTCTAATGGACAGTAATTTTCTCAGAAATTTTAGCTAATAATATCAAAGGAATGCATAATATTAAACTTTACACCATAACCTTTACTATAAATATTGACAACGGTGTAGCAAAGCACCAGGCAATGCTAATATATTATTACTGATAAATTACCGAGTTAACATACCCTGCAATCAATTACATCGAAGCATCTATTTTCCATTGTCCACCTTCGTCTCCTTCGCAGGTTCTTCAATTAACGACCGTTAACCTTGTCAACGACATCAGTTTATAAAGGGCAGAAATATCCAGCTATTTTTACGAACTCTGGAGCCACAGGCCATTCTGTAGACAACGTACCAGGCATTGTCCTTGATGTAAACTCAGTATAACTTGTTTATAATTGCTTTACTATTTTGACACTCTACTAAAATTATTTAACATTCCCAATTAGATTTCTCTCCATCGCGCGCAACAGTTTGTCCTCGCTACTCGCAGCTATCTGCTCGGTTTCTCACATCTCATTCACCTGCAGCTCTCATCTCTACCAATGCTCACAATTTATTCTACATTTTGCTAAATTTGACATGTAACTACCTTAACCTCTTTCTCCAGAAAAAATTATATTCATTATTAGCTTAAATTTTTAGAGTCTTAAGTTTTATATTTTATGGTTAACTTGTGTATTTAAAAAGTACTTGCAGGATCACGGATTGTTAATTTTTGTTTAATTAAATTTGTTTTTAAACCTTTTCAAATTCGTATTCGATATAGCTCTTGGGTGCCATGAGTTGAAAAGATATTTGTTAATATTTTGATTTTAGGTATCTTCCACGTTTAATGTTGCCTCCATTTTAGTATGATAGTATGCAAACTGGGGTATAAGTCTCTTTAAAAAATACGGAAAATCCCATCTATAACATATCACTATCATCTCGGGAAGACGATATCATACCTACGAGATATCACCAACCCATGAACCATTATCTCGGGAAGACGATATCCTATTCTACCTACAAGATATCACCAACCCGTGAACCATTATCTCGGGAAGACGATATCCTTTAACTACAAGATATCACCAACCCGTGAACCATTATCTCGGGAAGACGATATCCTTTAACTACAAGATATCACCAACCCGTGAACCATCATCTCGGGAAGACGATATCCTTTAACTACAAGATATCACCAACCCGTGAACTATCATCTCGGGAAGAC